ATGGGGTTCCCATAAGGGACATTGCAGATGCATTAGAGATAAACAAAAAAACAGTGTTGTTGGCTAAATCCAAAAAATTCAATATAATTCAAATATCCTTATAGACCAATAGTTCTATCTGGGACTACTAATTCTTGTACTACTTTTTTTATCGCAATGATACAATAAAAAGAGGGTAAGGGGAAAAAACAACGATGTACATTTTACAGGAATTTTTAACTAACCAACTTAAATCTGCTGAGAATACCAGATTTCTAAAAGCATACTAAATGGTATTTGAATGTAACAAACGATTTCCAAATAATAACGCATTCAGTAATAATTCTGTTATAAAATTTTGAAGAAAAGACTGTACCTTTAACATGATATTTGACAACGATAAATCAGTTTTCTCTGTAAAAGTCAGTTTTGCCATTCTGTACATGCTTAGAGTTGAACTAGAACTGAACAGGACCGGAACTATTACAGCAAAAATGATTATTTACCGTTATGTTATCAATTTTAACATAAATATAGCCAGATTCTAATAAAAAATTGTTGTAAAGTCTAATTCCTGTTCATTGATTGGTGTAAATATTTCATTAATTTCACTACATTGTATATGTTGCATAGTCTTGTAGTATCAAAAGGCAACTGTGATGTTGTAAATAATATTTTATTACCTTAAACAGGTTGTTATTACACCTTGAAATGGTTTGTGAAAATAAAACACTTTTGTTGTGTATTTAAATAAAACGTAAATCCTCAAAATAAAGTCTTTTTTTTTCGAATAGTTACTTTACAATTCCTGTTAGTGGAGTGCCCAGAGACTTTTATCACATATTATACAGATTATAATCTTTGTTTTTTCTTTATTGTTTTTCGTGGTTCCAATTTTCGGAATCGGGCACTAGTTAGGTTACTAGTTTGCGCACATAGCACGCCCACTTACGGCGTCTAAAATTGTGCACAGCGCCTGACCGGCATAGTTATTAGAGAGATATCGGAAAACCGAATAGCGTCATCCAGTATTTACGCGTACCTTATCATGGTTACGATATGCGCGAGTCAATTTTTAACGCAACACCCGCTAATAACGTTACCGCCTGACGTAATTTGCGGATCAATTACACTAAGCGCTCTTTCTAAATAACCTCTGCTAACGTTTAAAAATTGCTGAAATGGGCATGTGCGGGTTTTTGACAACCGGAGCCGAGAGATCTTTTATTTTAGGTTATGTTTGAATTGTTTTGAATTATTGCTTTAGTTTTTTTAGGTAATTTGATATTTAAGTAGCTGGGATTAGTTTTAATTAAATAAATATGGCCCAAAATATAGATTCCACCTCTTCTAATACTAAAGAACCTATAAAGAGTCTTAGGTTTACAGCAGATGACGACTTAGCCCTTCTAAGAGAATTTATTGCTTGTTGCCCTAAACCCACTTGCAGACGTTGAACAATAAAGCACTGGAAATAAGCACTTTAGCCCTTTAGTTTTAAAATACCTAGTAAACAAAACAATTTCAAAGTTTTAAATTCAAAGTTAGGTTAAGTTTAAATAGCGGACGCGACGCGATCAAATTCTTTCCGATCCGATAACTATAAATGAAGAGAGTTAATACCACCTCACGTAAAGGAAATAACACCTGGCCTTATTAACGTCCATGCATGCTATTCGGTTTAGCGATATCTCTCTATTACGCTGTTTATTGTTATTTTACGCGAGTTTATTTTTGCGCACAGGAAATTTGACTCGTTTGCACATCGTCATAAAAAACAATTTTTGTGCTGCGAATTAGGGACAAGATTTTTATCTCTATACTTATAGGATACCTAATCTATGCTTTTACCTCGGAATTCAATTACTATGAATGTATTAATATGAAACCTTTTGTACTGTGTTTTATAGATAAAATACTAAAATGTTTACTTATTTTTTTCTTCGATGCTTTTAATTTTCTATTTTAGTAATTTTAGTAAATTCTTAATTATTTCCTTCTTAATTTTTTGATTTTTTTAATTCTTTTTCTAAATAAATTTATTGAAATAAATAAATTTAGTGCATAAGCTATACCTATTCTGCGTATATTCTAATCATTGAAATTTTGATTGAAATTGAATTATACAGGGTGGCTCGTCATATACGACGCGGTTTTTGCAAGGAGAACAAATGTTTTTATTGAAGTGAAATTCTACAGGGTGTCCCAAAAAAAGTTACACGTTTTTTGTAATGGAACACCCTATATATTAATTGATTTTTGGATTCTATTTTTTACTAGACTGTTTCTATTTTTTACTAGACTATTTTTACTAGACTATTTTTTTACAAACCTTTATTTTTTACATAAAGGTTTGTTTAATTAGAAAAGTATATAACTAAAATGTTTAGTTTTTGAAATACATTCACCGGCACGAAAAATGGGCACCTTAAAACTTTCAATTTTTTTATATATAAATAAATATCTTTATATTTTAAAAATTAATATATTTTGTTTTAATGGGCCGATTTTGAAGATTTTGTTAAGCAGTATGTAGCCAAGTTATTTGACTTTTTAGTATTTTTTTCTAAATTAAAAATGAAACTCCCCATGTGTTAATTATACGAGGGAAAACAAAATGTTGATATTTGGGTGAAAGTTTGAAATACCCTGTGGAATATGTTAAAACAGCAAGAAATTTAAGAATCACTTTATCATCTAGATACATCCTTTCTAGATGGTTTGTTTTTTGGTTCATCTCATTAGCTTTATTTTTGTTGGAAATATTAGGTTTTGAAGAAGACACTAACATTTTTTCGTAATTTTTACATTAAGACCATGCCTTCGCTTTTGGGCCTAGTCAACACATCTAGTAAGTTCTGGTCCCAAAGCAGGCCTTCTTGACATAAGATTTGCTTCATTTAATCTTCTCCTTATGGTTCGTTAGTTAATTGTACATTCCTAAAGTGCAATTCATTATCAATTTGAAAAGCTCGCAAACGGCGCGGCGGTTTCTTAGCGATAAACTTACAATAAGTGGATAGTCTCGATTAGAAGTTCTCATATGATGGTTCCTGTACGTCTAGATTGACGTCCTCATGGACGTAGTCATAATTCAAAAACTACTTAGTAAAATAGTAGTATTTTTGGAACCAGAATTTTATAGCAAAATCACTGAACTAAACAAATATAGATATACAGGGTAGTCCGAACTGTATTCCGGAAACTTCGGCAGCATATTCTGATCTGAATATATGATTCTGCAGATAAAAATAAGTAAAAAAGTTCGTATAAATGTATGTCCAAAAATGCTTAGTTTTAGAGATACAGGGTGTAGAAGTTTCATTTTTATTTCGATTTTTTCTAAATAATTTCTGAAGTAACGTCAATATTTGGATGAAAATTGGTGTCTGGAAGTTTTTTGACATGGGAAATTTGATTTTGATGTCAATATGACTCCTACTAGTAGAGGGCGCCACCTACATGTGTTTTAACTGTTTTGAAGCCTAATAACTTTTTGTCCGTACCTGTATAAAACTACCGAGCGAAAAAATATACATCTCTGTAATTTTTTACGTAAAAAATATCTCTTTCTAAAAATCGCTACGAGAGCAACCGTTCTTAAGATATTTAGAATGGAAACAGTAAAAACATGTCATTATTTACGAAAAATAAACACGTTGAGTAGATAGTTATTTCACTGAAATAAATAAAATTGGGAAATTTTTATTTTTTTAAATTAATCATAATTTTTTCTGCAAAAAGTGATGATAAAACATTTTGTGTTGAACATTTGGGACAAAAAAATTCCAAATTTATGATTTCAGTCTAATAACTATTTAGTCAACATCTTTAATTTATGTCAATGATGACAGGTATTGATAATTTTTATTCCAAATATCTCGAAAACCATTACTCGTAGCTATTTTTACCAAGAGATCTTTTTCACGTAAAAAATATAGTAAATTTATATTTTTTTACTCAGTAGTTTTATACAGGTACGGACGAAAATTTATTACTCTTCAAACCAGTTAAAAAATATGTAGGTGGCGCCCTCTACTAGCAGAAATCATATTGACATCAAAATTAAATTTCTCATGTTAAAAAACTCCCAGACACCAATTTTCATCCAAATATTGACGTTACTTCAGAAATTATTTGGAAAAAGTCAAAATAAAAATGAAACTTCTACACCCTGTATCTCCGAAACTAAGTATTTTAGGACATACATTTATACGAACTTTTCTATTTATTTTTATCTGCAGAATATGCTGCCGAAGTTTCCGGAATACAGTTCGGACCACCCTGTATATTTGACGTGAAAACACGAATATGGTTATTTTGGTTAAAAATTCTATTTTCCCTCTCTCTGGATCTTTTTGATAGCATCACTGGTTGCCAGTAATTGGAACGGCTCTGGTAGAAAATAAATAGTTTAAATCCAAGATTAATGTTTCAAAATAATAATACATCAAGACAGCTAAATAAAAAGTTTTATTGTTTTATAACTGTATCCAAACTTCCATATTTATATCTATCTGTTAAAAAATGCATAGGTTTGAGGTGAAAGACATGGTACCTATACTGTTAGAATAAATATTTAACTGATAGCTCAGTCAAATTAGAAAAATCCGTGGAAAAAAATACCACAGTTTTGAAAATGGTTTTAAATAATTTCTCTAGACTTGGGCTGATGTGTGTCAAAAGTCCCCAAAGATAGACGATGAGCTCGAGGAGTGGGGAGGAGTTAAATGTCAATTTTTTTTGACTTTTTTGCTTATATCTCGGAAGCTATGGCATCTACTACTTTTGAATTGAAGAATTTTATGAAGGTATTTCTTGTTTCCGACACAAAAATTAATTCAGAATCATAATAATTTACTATTATTTTATAAATGTATTATTATTTATTTTGTTTCTTTAATATATTATGTACATAATGTCGGTTCTGATTCTTCTAATTACACAAAAATATAAAACAAAATAAATGAACAGAAAACATTATCCATGTTAACAAATAAATGACGCAGTCAAGGTGTGATTTATGTGAACCCATCACGTCTAAAATTTATAAAATCACAGTATATACTAAAAGTTATACTTAAAAATTCATGATATCGTACTTCTTCAACGCTATTTGAACGGAAAACGTACAATCGAAAGAAATGTGTTTGTACGGATTTGGAATATCTCATTTGATTTAGTATCCAAATTTATGAAGGGCATAGTTCGGAAACCATAAGTCCGGAAACAAAAATGTAAAGAATCACTTCATTTTATATAAAGAATCACAATTTTATAGAGAATTTTGTCAGCTTTATCTTTATATATAGAGCGCTTTTCGGTAGATGTCATAGTTTCCGAGATATAAGCAATAAAGAGCAAAAAAATTGACATTTAACTCTTCCCCACTCATCGAGCTCATTCGTCTATCTTCGGGAACTTTCGACACATATTAGCCCAAGTCTAGAGAAATCGTTTAAAACCATTTTCAAAATTGTGGGAATATTTTCTACCTATGGGCCTTTTTTAACTAATTTGACTGGGGTATGATTTCATTGGAGATAAACATTTTTTTTCATTTCATCATCAATAAATTAATAACAAATTATCTATTAGTATTTTAATAAAGCACGCTTTTAGATGTTTCAAAAAACTTTTAATAAGAGTAACTTTAACTCTACATATATGTTTCGGCTTGTTGGCCTTTTTCAAGAGTTTTTAGGAACTAATCGTCTAACTACACTGTAACTATATATATATATATAGAGTTTTCATTAATTTTGTGATTATTTACTATACAATGAGTTGCAAGACCAGAACTATGCTGGAGATTATTAATAGACTTTACATGTTCTTTAATCCTTATATCTAAATTTCTACCTGTTTGGCCTATGTACACGGCATCACAATCATTGTAATCCACCCTATATAACTGTTCCTCACTGGACGGTACATCACTCACTTTTTCTTCCGGATCTGTTCTTTTACCTTTCGATAAGATTGTTTTAATGGGCATCGCGGAACTTACAGTCGTAGCAATGGGTGGTAGTTTAGGTAACTCCACTTGCTTCTTATTTCTACCCCTGAATAAGCGCCATCTTACAGGAGGTGAGTAATTTATTTCGCGAATTGTATCGACCGTGATTACTTGGGGATTGAAGGTGACATTCTTGGTGGTATCTGAAGGGGTTCTACAAACGCTACCCGAGTCTACAGATGAACTTGGTTTGCTGCTTGGATGGAATTGTATGGACCGATGCTCGTCGTCCATGCTGAGATCAATGGCGAGGTTTGATATGATGTCTGGATCGATTTCTTGAGGGGAAGTTGGGGACAGCAACTATTAAAAATATTACATGCATTAGTGGAAAATTACAATGAAAAGAATTAGTTATTATACAAATTTCAATCACAAACATATTTAGATAATTCTGAAAATTTTTGTGATGATACTGGGAAGAGGAATCGGATTGAAGAGAAATAATTTTCTGCAAAGTTTGCTAACTAGTGTTAAGATATTATTATATTAAAAAATGTCAATATCTATGTGGCGGATTCATCTCTCCAAAAAATCCTATATGGGTATTTCGCCACAGCAAGAAAATCTACAAAATAAAATAGTTATTTTTTGTAACCACTTCTGCGTTAATCCCAAACGGAAATTACTTGTCAGAAGTTAGGTATACAGATATAAAAATTTTCCTAATGAACAAAAAAATGCTTAACGTCTAGGAAAGTGTATCGCTTTCCGTCGTCGGAATCAAAAAAATACAAAGAATAAAGAAAAAACTATTTAAAATATTTAAATTCAACTATTCGAGAACACTTTAGTTTTTTAAAACAGACCGTTGACGTTCTGTTAAAATGATATTATATCAAGTTAAACTTCAAAATTAACAATTATTACCTGATAATAATTACTTAATAAGGTAAAACCAAAAAGCCCCAAACTTTCTGTATGATTATTTTTAATTTTTACGTATGTTATAAACATAATAATACCATAAATAAACATTTATGGTATGTTCTTTAAAAATTAAAGAAGTGATTGCCATCCATTACTAACATCTACAGATGCATGAGCAATTCATTTATTTGTATTAGATTGTATTAAAAAAAGCCTCTTTTATTATTCTTTTAGAGACTATCTCTTCTTTCATTATAATTTTGGCGTTATTAAAATTTATTCTGTGCCCTGTGTCCTATGAATGCTGACAAATCTTAGATTTGTGAAAATCTCCTTTTCTTAAATAATCTTTATGTACTTTAATTCGAAGATTTAAAGGTCTAGATGTTTCACCAATGTAAATTTATCGCATTCACATGGTATTTGGTATATTACATTTTTTGTTTGTTGTTCTGTATTCATTGGTTTAGTATGTGATAAAATTTTATACAAAATACACTTAGATCCATTTTGTCAAACAAAAAGTAGTTTCCGTTTGGGATTAACGTAGAAGTGTTTACAAAAAATAACTAGTTTATCTTGTAGATTTTCTTGCAGTGGCGAAATACCCATATAGGATTTTTTGGAGAAATTATTATATTAAAATTTTCAGATTATAATGGTACACACTATACCGATCTGGTCATCGAGACTGCGCGGTCTGGATTTTAACGTGCAAGACAGTGATGTCGACAAAATAATGGAAAACAACCAAAACAATTAAAAACAAATTAACAACCAAATGTATTAAAAAGAGATAAAAGTTGGGTTTATACATTCCTTCTATGCGGTATTGCCGGATTTAACATCAAAATTTCAAACAGCACAAGTAGGCGTTTATGAAAAATGTTGCATCTAGGTTTGGAACTTTATTATTCACAATTAGTTTCTCATTTTACTACAGCTATAATAGATTATTGTATTTAGCTTAGATATATTATCTTCATTTCAGTAAAAAAAAATATGTTTTTAGTTTGCCACAAACGTAAAAACCGGCAACAGTGTATGCCGCTTTTTAATCTGTCTCTCAACCGGTCATTTATATTTATCTCTGTCGCATGCATTAAACTACAGACCACGCAGATGAAGTGACCAGGGCTTCTTATTCAACATATATTTTGTATGAAGTTTTTTCCCATTTAAGGTGATGAGACTCATGAGAGAGAGAACTGACCAGAGCTAGTATATGTATACACAGATGCATAAAAAAGGTAACGGAAAAAACTTTTATCAAATTTAAAGAGTCATTTTATATTTTTTTTTTATTTTCAGCCATATTTTTATAATTTTTAGCAAAGTGTATATAAATATATCAAATTCACTTTCTAAAGTCAGTTTTTTATAAACTTTAGTATTTGGCTAATTATATGGGGTTAATCGAAGAGTGTTTTTTTATCTTAATTTTAAAACACCCTGTGCTATGATTACGTGAGAAAATTTTGCTCCATCCTTATTTTTCGGTTCGAATTATGTCTCCTAAGCATTTTATTTTTTGGCTCATGTCAACACATACCTTGATTAATTTTTGAGAACAAGACGAACTTGACACCAGAAATTTACAATTTTTTGTATTGTCATTAATTTCTGCTTTTATTTTTTAATATGACCAAGTCGCAATATAATATTAATTATATTGAATCTTAAAAAGCGGTACAGTCTTAGGTTTAATAAACATTAATAGAACTAAACATATTAAAAGACTTAACTGTAATAATTAAGTATACAAACAGAAAAAAACTTGTAAGTAATAAACTAATACGAATTTATGTATGGTAATCGCAATACAATTTCCGATGCACGTGATCAACTTTGAGTGACAAACGATGGCGACAGCGCTGCCAGATTGTGATGGATTTATGAGATGAATCTTAATTAAAAATTGACAAGCAATATATTTATTATATCGTTAAAAAAACGTTTTATTTTTAATTTAATTACTAATATTTTAGTAATTGATTTATTTGTTTTATAGCTTATTATTGGCAAAAACTAGTCCATTATAAAGATTATTCTAAGCGTTATTATGGGGTTATTTATTTATTGATGTACATCTTACAACGCCATAAGTGGTAATAACAAGTAAGAGGGTGCTATTAATGCACAAACTAATAATCACAGAATTTAATAACAACTACCGTAGAAATAACTTTGAAAGTGGTGTAATGTGCTTATCAATCAAACTTCCTTCTCTGACTGCAGTCAAGAGTAATAAAGGACCTTTATTGTCACGTTCTCGTTCAAAATAGTTTATTAGGGAAGCTACAAGCTCTTTGCTTCGACTATTTAAATGATTCGGCATATTTTCAAATAATAATTTCAAGAAATACAATACAAAAACTCGAAAATTTAGTTCTTAAAAGAACTGTTTGTGCTTAAAAGTACAATTTTTAAAAAAAGACTATGAAAATAGGCAAAAACGAAAATTACTCACAAAGATTCAACAACAACACGATATTATACAAAATAATGACAGACATTAGGATAACTGTCAAATAATAAACGACAACCTTGCTGAAAACGGCGCAATGTGACCAACATAGCGATAATAAAATTCGGTTTAAACTAATTTTTGCAGCTTTAATCTAAATAAAATATCTGTTACAATCATTTGCTCTATAAAGTAAAATAAAAACCTGCTCGGTATCTTAAATTATACAACAAATTTAAATATTTTTGCCAAAATTTTATTTAGTCAGATTTATATTATATAGACTTTAGTGTCAATGTTGATATGATTTATGACGTGCATCGGAAAATGTTTTGCGATTGCAATATGTATTGCCATCCCTGGCTGTCAACTGCTTGTAGATGTCGGTTTATGCTGTTAATGAGGCAGCAAACAACATATTGTGTTATGTTTTCCAATTTTTCTGTAAGATTTAGCGAAGTTTATTTATCGAAGCTGGTTTGGTTAGATCACTTCATAACTTCTAACTCTCTTGCCAAGCACGTCCCAAACTATGTTCTATAGGGTTTAAATCTCGCGAACACACTGGCCCCTTCATTTTGATGATACCAACCTCTTCTAGGTATTGTGTAATTGCCTCTAATACCACCTAATACATTGCCACCTCTTCATATTAAAAAATAGCATCAAAAAGTAATGATTGAAAAAATTGCAATCTGTTGGTGATAAGTTCATTTCGCTCTTAAAAATTAACTGAATCATGTGTGGACATGAGTTTAGGAATAACGTTTTAGGAAAATTTGCTTACGAAATTATTACAACTCTTCGATTAACCCTGTATAATAAGCCAAACACTAGAGTTTATAAAAATCTGAGTTTATGAGAATTAAAGCTGATATATTTATATACAGTTTGCTAAAAATCATTAGCAATAAAAGAAATGTAACAATTTAAATTTGATGACAAAATGTTCCGTTCTTTTTTTTTTCATCTGAATGTGTACCAATTTATTCAGCGCCATCTGATGTTTAAAAACACTATACCTGTTATTAAAGTAATTTTATATTTGAATAATAAATTGTCTCTGACCTGTGGATAGACGGGTGTTGTGGGTGATCGTGCAAAATATTCGGATGGAGGACTTCCTTCCACGAGTAGATCTGCATGCATTTCTAAAATATTCGAGTCTGAGTTAAAAAATTCTTTGCAGCCGGCACTTGCCAAAACGTTGTCTAGAATATCTTCTGCCGATTGAAATTCGCTGCCACTTGAATTTCGTCCATCTCTGAATGGTCTAAAATATTAAGCAATAATATCATAAATATGTCAACATTAAAATTTGTTAATACTTACGTTACTTCTAAGGTAGCTTTTTGACAATTTTCCTTTCCCTGTTTTGGTGTTTCACGACAACATTTATTACCGCTTGAAGCTGACTCAAAACTAAGGTTACTACTCGAAGAGCTCTCCAGGTTGTTATTATTTACAATTAATCTAGGAAATATTTTACATTGCTCGAAACTTCGTATGTTGCGTATGTCATCTGCGCACGTGCTTAAATTTCCTATTATTTTTGGAGTTCGTCTCATCACCTTAAATGGGAAAAAACTTCATACAAAATATATCTTGAATAAGTTAAGGGACTTTACTGCAAATATATTTTCTTGGAATAAATATCTTTTCAATTAATCTTAGGCTTAGTTAAAATTAAATTAATTGAGTAGTATTGAATTATATTTAGTAGTATACAGGGTGGTCTGAACTGTATTCCGAAAATTTCGACAGAATATTGTGCAGATAAAAATAAATAAAAAAGTTCGTATAAATATATGTCCTTAAATGCTTAGTTTCGGAGACACCCTGTAGTAGAATTTTCATTTTTATTTCGATTTTTGCCAAATAATTTCTGAAGTATCAATATTTTGATGAAAATTGGTGTCTGGGAGTTTTTTGACATGATAAATTTGATTTTGATGTCAACATGACTCCTAATTTCTTCTAAATTTCCGTGACTTTTTATGTAAAAAATATCTTTTGGTAAAAATCGCTACGAGCAACCGTTCTCAAGATATTTAAAATAGAATTAGTTAATTCATGTCATTATTGACAAAAAATAAACATGTTGAGAGTAGATAGTTATTTGACTGAAATTATTTTTTTTGTAGTGCACAAAACATTTAAAATTTATGATTTCAGTCTAATAACTATTTAGTCGACATGTTTAATTTAAGTCAATGATGATAGGTATGAATAACTTCGATTCCAAATATCTCGAGAACCATTACTCGTAGAGATTTTTACCTAGAGACCTTTTTTACCTTATTTACGTAAAAACGTCGTAAATGTATATTTTTTTACTTAGTAGTTTTATATAGGTACGGACGAAAAGTTATTATTCTTCAAACAAGTTCAAAATATGTAGGTGTTGCACCCTACAAGTAGGAGTCATATTGAAATCAACATCAAATTTCTCATGTCAAAAAAAACAGACACCAATTTTCATCCAAATATTGACGTTACTTCAGAAATTATTTGGAAAAAAATCGAAATAAAAATGAAACTTCTACATCCTGTATCTACGAAACTAAGCATTTAAGGACATATACACACACCGGAAAAGTCTAGGGATATTACAGTTTTATCCAGCCATTGTCAGTAATTTTATTATTTGCATTTCTGATAATAAAATTAAAATAAACAAACAGTTTACAGGACGTATTGGAAATAAAAATGCGAAATTTACCGAATTTTTCAAATTTACCTTGATTTCTATTGAACTCAAAAAAATACACACATTTTTTTTAATTCTAAACTGTGAATTAAAAAAAAATGATAAAACCATTTTTACTTAATAAAATGTATGGCCTCCTCTACTGTTTATTACAGCCCTACATCGTCTCTCCATGCTCCTGATCAGTTTGTCGATCTCTTCTTGAGGTACAGGCTGCCACGCTGCATTCACGGCCCGAACCAGATCCCTACGAGTTTCACGAGGCATACCCATTCTCAAAATGCTTCTTTGGACCGCGTCTCATACGTGCTCGATGGGGTAGAGGTCAGGAGATTGTGCCGGCCAGGGTAAGATGTTTAATTGATGAGCATTGATAAACTCACTTACCACTGGCTGTATGAGGCCGTGCATTGTCATGCATGATAATGAAGTTTCTCCCAAAATCATTGGCATATCGTAACACGACAGGCTCAAGAATTAAATCACGATATGTGATTCCTGTTAGAAACCTTTCAAGAAAAACGAGATCGGTTTTTCGGTCTAACAGAACTCCTCCCCAGACCATAACTGTTCCACCTTGATAAGGGTGTACTTCCTGAACATGATCCAACCGAATAAAATTTCCCGGTTCTCTCCATACCCTAAGCATTCTCGAATCCGGATGAATTCCAAAGCTTGATTCATCCGTGAAGAGAACATTGGCCCATTGTCCCTTCGACCACTGAACATGATCTTGAGCCCACAAATATCGTACCTCTCGATTTCCTCTCGTTAAGGGTTGAGCTCTCCAGGGGAGTCTGCTTCTTAAGTTGACCTCTCTTAATCTATTGCGAACAGTGTCAGGACTAACGGTTACATTATGTGTTTTCTGGAGAATTAAACTAAGCTCTGGTGCTATAAAAGTCGGTCGGCGTCGAGCATTTAATTGTAAAAAATGATCTTGCTGAGGGGTAGTAATGCGATGTCGCCTTGTGTGCCTTTCAGCAACATCACCACCTTCACGGTAGCGTGTACTTAATCGCGATATTACACTTTGCGTTGTATTTAATGCTCTAGCTACGTCGATATGGCGCATTCCAGCTTCAAGCATAACCATGGCCCTTAGCATTTCGTCTCTGTTAAGATGACTACGCTCCATAATGTCGTTTTATACTAAACAGAGTTATTTGAATGAATTCTGGCCAGTTATCATAAAAACATAGCCAGTACAGGTTAAATTCGAACAATTGATGCTAGGTGCTTTTTATACATTTGACAAAAAATGTACAAACACTTCTGCAAATATCCCAAATTTAGAAATAACTAGTGTGACTACTTCGTTTCAATCGAAGTAGAGAGAATCGGCCTACAAATATGTGGTTGTTTATTCAAAACATTTATTTTTAACTTTAATAAAATGATATCCCTAGATTTTTCCGGTGTGTGTATTTATATCAATTTTTTTACTTATTTTTATCTGCAGAATATGTTACCGAAGTTTCCGGAATACAGTTCGGACCACCCTGTATAAAAAATTAGACATGTTTTTTTTATAGACACTTTAATTATGCAGACTAAATATCTTTAAATATACCATTAAATATATAAAATAAATACATGGCCCCAGTGATGCCAACTCGTGGGAAAATTCGTGATCCAGAGGGAAAAGGGAAATTTTAACTCAAAACATCATATTCGTGGCAAATTCTAGAATCGTGTATTTATTCACCAAAAATATAGTTATGTGTCCGCATTTCTGAGCAAAGTGATAAAATTCAAACTAGCATTACCGCAACTAAATACAAATTTTTGGTGGCGTCAGACGGAGGTATTCCCTTAAAAAAAAGGTGAATTTTAAATAAGTGCAAATATTTATAGGGATGGTATCTGGACAGGGTGTGGATCTTAAAGAAGTGCAAATATTTTCAGGGCTGGTCGATCTCGATAAAAGAAACATATTTTCTCTTTACCGCTTTCCAGATAAGTCCAAAATAACCAAGTTATTATAATTTGCAAATTTCCAAAAAAAAATAATTTTTGAGAACCACTGGATCTTTTCTGGGTTTTCTTTCTTGTAAATTTAATATATTACCCATCTGCCATATTATCAAGAAATTATGTTATTTAACTAAAAACGAAAAGAATCAAAAACATTTTAAAAAAAAAATCAAATTTTCAATAATATTAAATAAATAACTAATAAATAAGTGCAAATAATAATTATATTTATTTGCAGTTATTCTGATTCTCCCTGAAGATTCTTCCTGTATATCGACCCCAGGAATATGCCTAAAGTTAAAAAATGATTTTTTTTGTTCGAAAAAAAAAATTTAATTTGAAAAAAAATTGAAGAGTATATTTAGAAATTTGTTTGGAATTTTTTTATAGTTAAAAAACATAATATCTGTGTTGTGTTGACAACACTATATTGAGAACTCGAGGGAATTTTTAGAAAAAACTGGAAATTTCCCCCGTCCGCGTGGGAAATTCTATTTCAGAAAGTTGGCAACCTGCAAGGCCCTTTACTCCTATAAAATTGATTTATATTATTTTACAATATAATCTAGATATTACATACTATACAGGGTGGTCCGAACTGTATTCCGGAAACTTCGGCAGCATATTCTGCAGATAAAAATAAGCAAAAAAGTTCCTATAAATGTATGTCCTTTCGTTTCAGAGATACAGGGTGTAGAAGTTTCATTTTTATTTCGATTTTTTCTAAATAATTTCTGAAGTAACGTCAATATTTCCATGAAAATTGGTGTCTAGAAGTTTTTCGACATGAATTTAATTTTGATGTCAATATGACTCCTACTGATAGAGGGCGCCACCTACATGTGTTTTAACTGTTTTGAAGCTTAATAACTTTTTGTCCGTACCTGTATAAAACTACCGAGGGAAAAAATATACATCTCTGTGACTTTTTACGTAAAAATATCTTTTTGTAAAAATCGCTACACTCGTAACGGTTACTCAACCGTTCTCAAGATATTTAGAAGGGAAATAGTCAATATATGTCATTATTGACGAAAAATAAACACGTTGAGTAGATGTTATTTCACTGAAATAATAAATTTGAGAATTTTTTTTTTTTAAATTAATCATAAATTTTTCTGCAAAAAAATGTTGATAAAACAGTTTCTGTTGAACTTATGACACAAAAGCTTTCAAATTCATGATCTCAGTCTAATAACTATTTAGTCAACATGTTTAATGTATGTCAATGATGGCAGGCATTTATAATTTCGATTCCAAATATCTCAAAAACCAATACATTTTTTACGTAAAAAACGTCGTAAATGTATATTTTTTACTCGGTAGTTTTATACAGGTACGGACAAAAAGTTACAACTCTTCAAAACATTTATAAAATATGTAGGCCATAAATATGTATATGGCCCTCTACTAGTAAGAGTCATCAAAGTCAAATTTTTCATGTCAAAAAACTCCCGGACACCAATTTTCATCCAAATATTGACGTTACTGCAGAAATTATTTGAAAAAAAAATGAAATTTCTACACCCTGTATCTCCGAAACTAAGCATTTTAGAACATAGATTTATACAAACTTTTTTACTTATTTTTATCTGCAGAATATGCTGCCGAAGTTTCCGGAATACAATTCGGACCACCCTGTATATAGAATTAAAATTGAAAATTAATTGATTGCAGATTAATGATAAGTTATCATGAATATATATTACAGCTAATTAATCTTACAAAATAATTTTGATTAATTAATTTACCTTCGGTGTTGCACAGATATCAACCACAACACTTGTAGCAACTAAGCTGGCTCTTGAACTAATACTTGAAAGTTCTGACAAACTTTCTGGACTTGCCAATGGAGCTAATCCCAACCAGTCATCATATATTAAGTCTACTTTTGGAACTAAATTTAAACTTAAACTTTTTGTTATAGACGGTGGTTCTTCGTGCTAAAAGACAAATTGATATTTGTATTTATTTGTAACACATAGTTAAAAGAAAATCATACGAGACACCTAATATTAGAGCAAATTAAAACTAATTAGTAAATCATTAAAAATGAATCTTTTTATTTACATTTTCGTTTGTTTTGCCGCTCGTGTTAACAGCTAATAAATATTTCTTTTTTTATAAATATTATATATTTGTCTTTTATAATTCTTTTTCAATAAATATTTCTTTTTTATTTATATATTTTTTTAATTTATTGCCAACCAAACCAAACCAAACTATTTTAATAATTTTGGATCGCTTTGTATTGTTAGACTTCTTATACATAACTTACTCACATATGAGACACGTTTTTTACAATTTTTTTAAATGTCATATTTAAGTAACACAAAAATAACATTTTTTAACTAAGGTTTGTTGAAATATTTTAAATTGTTTACAGATTGACGTTTTAGTAAAAGTAATATATTTTTTTATTATTGTGTGTATTGTAGGTATAATTAATTTCTTAAATAATATTTGTTTTAAATGCGTAATTACCTTTGTCAAAGACACTTGTTGGCTCTTAAAAGAATAATCTGACTGATTGCTCCTTATCGAAATATTGAATCCAGATAATGGCTTACGAAACGACATGGGAGACGGGTGACTTTTAGTAGAAAAGTATCCGTTTGTAAACGAGGAATTACTAGAAGGACTTTGTAAAGACGTAAAACTAGTTTCTAAAAATAAATTCGGATTAGACGACGCAGAAAGGTAATTGGTAGTGGAATCTGTCGTTGATGACGATCGATGTGGTTTCTTTGGACCCGTTGTAGTTACAACCTGAAAGTTAGAAATAATTTCAGATATAGCAAAATTCTTTCATATCTAATTTTAACCGATAATTTGACATACACATTAGTTTGCTACGATGTTCTCTATCGGTATCTCGGAAACTAGTGGAGCTAGAGAGTCGGTCAAATATGGAAAGAATTGAAGTTTTGTGAGGACAAACATATGCGCCTTTTGAATTTTTGAAAAAGTTTATGGTTTACTAGATATTTAGACAAACACAAATTTCTACGATTTTAAAAATGCTTCCTAATTTCATTATAGTCTATTTTAGACAAAAAGTTTCCGGGCAAAAGTTGTAGAGAATCACATAATTAATGAGATTATGTTCTCCATTTTTTTCTAAAGCCTGTTAGTTTTGACATATGACACAAATATATTTTTTTTTAATTGAAAGTCATAGTTGGCTATATTTCTCGAAAAAATACTATATAGCGCTGGCAAGCTTTAAAAATTACGCTTTTTATGGAGTCATGGCCACCTATAATATCCATTTTAAGAAAACATATTTGTGTCAAAATGACAGGCTTTAGAAAAGGACGGAGAACAAAATCTCATTAAGGGATATGATCTGTGGAAATACGAAAGGGGGTAAGTGCCAAAATTATTTTTTCGAGATAAATGAGAAAAACACAGTGGAACTGAAAATAATAATATATCTTTTAAAATACATATAATATACATAAAAAATAAACGCTTTCTCTTGGCACTTGTAACTTTTGTTAGGACATGCATGGTATTTATTACGTTTCTAATGCAACAACTTAATATTGAAAAATTTGGCACTTACCCCTTTTGGTATTTCCACTCTCCAATTTTTACCTGAAAGCTTTTTGTGTAAAATGTATTATAATGGAATTGGAGAAAGTTTTTAAAATAGCCAAAATTTGTTTTTTTCGAAATATCTATTAAGCCATACACTTTTTCAAAATTGAAAAGGCGCATATGCATATGTTTGTTCTCACAAAACTGCAATTCTTTTCCAATTTAACCGACAATCTAACGTAAAGTAATTTCCGAGATACCCATAGAGGTCATTGTAAAAAACTCACCCTGTATATCAAGACTTATTAGTATTTTTATAAATAATTAAATTTAAAAAAAGCATCCATTATTCCCAAAGAGACCTGGTCTATAAGTTCAAAAGAAGAAAAAACCGAGACTTTGAACCTTTTTTTGTCTTTTGGATGAATAATTAAATTGATAAATAATATCTATATTTTTGTGACGGATTCATATCATTGGTATTATATAATTGATAAATCAGTAATTTTGAAAAAGCTTTCTTCATTGTTTTCTTTCTGTTTTTTATTCGACGCGACAAAGAATATAGTATTTATAATTATTATAAAAAATAAAGCCCTAGATTCAAAATATCTTTTAAATTGTTCTTTAGGGTTTTTTTTTAATTCTTATTTTAATTTATGGGTATAATTATTATTATTATTATGGGTACATTTATAATATATGTTAACTATTACTTTAAAATATCTTTACATTTAGTTCTTGACTTTATGGCTACTGATAAGGAACCTTTTTTCATGTTATTTCCTATATGCGTACCCCAGAAGTAAACTATATTAAGGGACAAAACATAGTTTTGAGAAAAACGAATTTAAAGTTTGTGTTTGAAGTTATATCCTAATTAGGCAATAATTTTCAAACCTATGGTTGTAATATTTGGTATATGAACAATTTGTTTTGAACTTAAATGAGATGTAAAACAGTTTTTTAAATAAATAATACCTACATTTTTTTGAGTGTTTTAACACAATTTGCTTATTAGAAAAAAAACATTTACAGGACTAAACTTATATTAAGCTTAACTTATAGTAGTCCCTATTTAGGCCAAAATGAATAAAGGAAATTTTAGGTCCAAAGCATTTTAGGTCTAAATAAAAGTATATACTACTGACATAATAAGAAAGCATTTAACATGAAATTGTAAAATAGGTATGTATGTTACAATTTGGCACCAATTTACTATTTTTATTAAGTTTAAATTGACTACCTTATAATAGCAAAACTGTCAAAATCAATTTTGGTCACTGTAGACCCACGGACATAACACACTGAGCTAACTAAAGATGTTTGAGCCAAACTGCGTTTACGTGACTTAAGCTGATTTAGCCTAGGTCTGACATGGGTCTTAATTTGATTTTAAATCGACTATTTTATTTACCGATGTACGTAAACAGCCGTTAAACGGTAGCATACTAAAATGCCGTTAAAATATATTGTGACGTCGTTCATGTCGGCTCCGTGGCTGAGGCTATCGCTTCGTTAGCGAATGGTCCGTGGTTCAAATCTCACGCCCACCAAGACTTTTTTATATATTTTTTTGCTTATAGCGTGATCTTATTGCATTGGTTTCACTCTTTTTGGTTGGATTGGTGGTTTAGTTATTTGGCGGGTTGGTTAGCGTGGTTATTTGGAGGGTGTTAATTCATTGGTTAGTTGGTTATTTGGTGGGGTTGGTTGGTTTTTACTAATTTATGTTTGTTTTTTATATTTTTTTTTATCAGTGTCGTTGGTTAAGTTAGTTATTTGGTGGGGTGAATAGCGTTGGTTAGTCCTTATTAAATTCCTATATTTCATAAAGCCGTCAAGTGCCTCACATCAACGACGTCATACCTATTAACGGCATTTTCGTAAGCTACCGTTTAACGGCAGTTTAAGTACATCCTTTATTTATTGGTACAGATAGCGTAAAACGAGAAAGAGCAAAGGATAGAACATAAAAAGTAACTGGACGTTAATATGCCCAATTTTGTACTTAACATAGTTTGCTTCTGGGGTACATATAAGTGGTTTTTTTTGTATATTTAATCTCCAAATATTTTCATCTAAGATAATTTGTCAGATTCTTTATATTTAATAATATAGTCGCATATATGTGTAAAGTGAACAATTGTATCATAACATATTATATTATTATAAAAACGATATTTTCTAAGGAATAAATATATAACGCATGCATGTAATAACAATTTCAGATTTACTAAATTTTAACTATGGTGCTGGCATGCTTCCATGCAAAATACCAGAATTTTTACTTACATACTATCTAGGATCACGATCACCTTAGTATAATTAAAAATAAGTTTAAGTTGAAAAAGGCACTTATCAATGCCTACAAATAGTCTAAAACTTATATGCAAGAAAGCTGAAAAAGTTGTTCTTAAGTAATGTCACTGTTTGAAAAAAAAAATAGTTGTGTATAAGTATACTAACAATACAAATAAAAAAGGTAAAAATATAGAGAAAATATATTTAACGGATAAATAACAAAATATATTTTTGATTTTAGTACAAAAATTAGGATTTTTTTAAAATATAAAACTAAATATGTGTAAATGATTTTTTTTCTAAAAGTAAGCTTAATAAATTAATAGACAAACGCAAGTGTAATCGGGTACTAGTAAAAGTGCACAGTGGAAACTATTGATTAATAGATTATAAAAACTTTAAAGGAGTTTGGATTGTGTTAATAAGCGTTAAGTTAAGTAAGGTGTAAAAATAATATTCAGAAAATGCAAATATTAAATGACTTAGTATTCATACATTTTAGTTTCCTAAAAGTGAGCATAAATTTGCATAGTATACAGGGTGGCGACTCTCATACGCCGTAGAGGCTCTAAGGAGAACGACAGTTTGTATTGAAATGAAATTTTGTGAGCATATGTAGGTTAATTCAGAGCATTTTTTAAAATATAGAGAGTTCTACAGGGTGTCCCCAAAAAAGTTGCATATCAAAGTTGTGTTTTTTGTAATGGAACGAGGGTGTTTTTATCAGTTAATATATAGGGATATATTAACTGATTTTCGGATTCTAGGAGAAAAATAAAGGTGACTTTTATTAATGAAGCATATACCTAAAATCTAAGGATTTTGACATATTTCACATTTTGTGAAAATGAAGGGTAAATTTTGAATTTTGATAACAACTACCTAAATTTTAGTTGACCTTGCTTGACTATAGCCTGATATTTAATTACAGTAACCATTGTTTGTTAAACCAAATTGAAATGTTACCTGAAAAATTATACAGGGTGAGACAAGATGAATATGGAACATTAGTCACTTTTAAAAGCAAATTGCTCCTTTATTTTAAATGGAACACCTAGTATATTACTTCGGTATTCAATGGAAAAAATTTTATATCTTCAAAATATTATTAAGGTTACCTACCCCTCAGACAAAGATTTTCCTAGATATTTTAATTTTTATGATTTTGCGTCAGTAGATCTTTATTATTTGAAAAAATCTAGGTGGCTGTGGTATATCTTTTGTAAATTTAACAAAAATTAAAGAATGTAGAGTAAAATACTCAACGGTAATAAAAAGATATACGTTTAAAACATATTTTAATTATTACAGAATTAAAACTAGATATAAACCTATAATTATGTGACAAACATTAGTTAGATGAAACCAAATGCTCAAAATGATTCCTTTCCTGTTAACTGCAAAAAATTATTGTCTTTTCAAGGCCGGGGCACACCTATCATGCACGTTTCCAATCGTCCGACTATATGAGAGGGAAATTGTACGTTATTTTAACCAGCGTAGTTTACACCTTTCCGATACGTGATTCATCCCCGCTCCTACTCGACTCCGTTCCTGCATCCGTTCGTGTTCCGATTGTCAGTCTATTCGTCGATGCCGGTGTGTGGTACGAGTGTCGTTTTGAACTATTTTTTATATTTTTGTTTTTGCTGTTTCATTTTTAGTTTTTTACTAAAATAATAAAAAATGTCAACAATAAAACCGCAGGAACTAATTGAAGAAGTGAGGAAATATGGGCGAAACTCCGACTACAAAAATATGAAATCTGCCTTTTTCGCTGTTCTCTATAAAAGCTTTGTCATTTTCCTCATCTTCTTCCAAACAAAGTGCCACCATGGCTAAATCACTGCTGGTAAAATTATTAAACATTTTGCGCACACGACGTCTTGCATGCGATGATTGTTGAATCAAGACTGGCGATTGTATCCAGCCGAAGCCCGAAATCGTGAAGGAGTCGGAAGCGTGTATGACATGTATGTACTCACCATTTCCGATCCCACAGCACACTTCTGGAGCAAAATTGGACCGGGGCCGGATCGGAAACGTGCATGATAGGTGTGTCCCGGCCTTCAAAAGGGTCTTCTCGAACAGCAACTACAATAATTTCTCTCATGTTCTCGACAATAGTTGGTCGAGTTTTGTAAACACTGTCTTTAACATATCCCCATAAAAAATCTAGACTAGATAAAATCAGGAGCAATTAAGTAGTCTATTAATTGGTGAAAGCACATTGCATTCACCAACTAATAGAATCATATCAATTCTTTCTGATGTAGGATAAGTTTGCATTTTCGGCAAATTCATGAGACATTTTTTTGTTTTAACTGACACAAAATGATAACTAGTTGTTAAAGTTGGTCTAATTAGACAGCTATGTTGAAGTAACGTCATACATATCACAGCCACCTAGACTTTATCAAATAATAAAGATCTACTCAGATGAAATCATATAAATGAAAATATCTAGGAAAAACTTGGTTTGAGGGGTAGGCAATCTTAATAATATTTTGAAGATATATAAATTTTCCATTGAACACCGGAATAATATACTGGGTGTTCCATTTAAAATAAAAGAGTAACTTACTTTTAAAAGTGACTAAGTCCATATTAATTTTGTCTCACTCTGTATAAATTTTCGGGTCAAATGTCAAATTGGTTTAACATACAGTGATTACTGTAATTAAATATCAGGCTATACAAGGTCAAGTAAAGTTTAGGTAGCTGTTATCGAAATTTAAAATTTACTCTTCATTTTCACAAAATGTGAAATATGTCAAAATCCTTAGATTTTAGGTATATACTTCTTTAATAAAACTCACCTTTATTTTTCTCCTAGAATCCGAAAATCAATTAATATATAGAGTGTTCCATTACAAAAAAACAAAATTATATGCAACTTTTTTGGGGACACCCTGTAGAACTCTCTATATTTTTAAAAAGTTCTGTGAATTAACCTACATATGCTCACAAAATTTCATGTCAATACAAACTGTCGTTCTCCTTGGAGCCTCCGCGGCGTATGAGAGGCGCCAGCGCCACCCTGTACAGTCAAAACTAATTATAACCTTATTAGTACGAAGTACTACTATTCTATCGTTCACAATTTAATAGCGGCTTGCAGAAACGACTGTAACTGGCACTCATGCATGAATTTTAATAGGTTGTGTACAGAAAGGCAGACAAACAGTAAAGATCAGTGAGAATCATACTGATAACAAATTTATGAAGCAGGTTCATTATTGCTTCCACTAATATTTAGAAAATTTATGATAAATAATGTAACTACAAATTTCCAGTTAATTTAACAATAAATTAAGAATTCATTTATTCAACAATATTAAAACTTGATAGTTGATTAAAAATCTCAGAAAGAAGTATACAGGGTGCTACAAATTCGGGGTACGAGCATTGGTATCTCGATAACCGTAAGAGATACGAAAATGGTTAAATTAGGGGAAAGATGCGCTTTGGGATGTTCACCAAGATGCCATCAAAAAAGTTTTAAAAATTTCAAGGATTGCTGAGTTTTTCAATTGGGTCAATTTTCCTTATTCAATGTTAATTAGCGCTGATGAATTTTGTAGCGATGAATATATCACATTAAATAATTTAAAAAACGAGAGTCGGACTTGAAATTATTTTAAATAATAATTAAATAGTTTTCTTGTTGTTAAAAAAAGTATAGAGTATGGCATATCATTGTAAGCAGGAGACCGAGTTGTTTCAAAAACTAAAATAAAAAAATGCATGTCCGTATTTTAAAAAAATAAGTTGGCCCCTGTATCTCATAAATTATCAGCTAATTTAAAAATCTAAAAGTACTATCAGATATTTCTAATAAAGTGTCTATGAGAACGTGCAATTAGTTTTTTGATTTTCTGAAAAGTAACGACAGGAAAAAATAAAATTGATTTCTAAAAACATCTGTTTTCCAAAAAAACTCAACAATCCTTGAAATTTTAAAACTTTTTTGATGGCATCTTGGTGAATATCCTAAAGCGCAACTTTGCCCCAATTTAACCATTTTCGTATCTATTACGGTTTCCGAGATACCAATGCTCGTACCTCGAATTTGTAGCACCCTGTATAACAAATGTAGTTGATAAAACATTTCTCATATAAATAATAAAATTAAATTAATGTAACTACCAAATAAAATTCATGACAAAGATTTTTCATATCTATTTTTTTAGTATCCAGGGTCACCACGTACGAAACTCCGTTTTAGCTAAACGATTAGATTTTTGCAAATTGTTTTAGGTTCGTTGATGGACTATTACACCTACAATTTAAAAACATTTTTACAAGATACTACTATACTGTAAAATTATTTTTAAATTGTAGCTCTAACAGTCCTTCAACAAACTCAAAACTTACAATTTGTAAAAACCTAATCGTTTAGCTACAATACTCCGTGTCGTATGTGGTAAACAACCCTGTACTTGTTGCATGGTTTATAATGGTGTCTATCCTAAAAACATTTTGTTGTATACATTATAAGGGTGCGCCAAAAAAAAGTTATGATGTAGTTTTAAGGTTGTTGTAAATTGCACCATTGACTTCTTCCTCGGTATTTTTCGTCTTTTGTATATGCGGTTATTAGTTATAAAATTTAAATAAGTGATTTAGTAAAACCAAATAGATTTAAGTCATTTAACATTATATTTTAAATGGGTTCTAGTAAACTTTAGGTACCTCGGAATTTCACACTTTTCTTTGTTTTCTTAGAAAGATTACTGTAAATAGAGCATATTAAGACAATAAATTTGTTGGATCATACAGTTTTTTTTTAGAAAATCACAAATAAAGTTCAAAAAATGTCAACATGTATGTATGTTCAGATTGTTCAGGTATGTTTGGCGAGTTGGTTAGCGTGGTTATTTGGAGGGTGTTAATTCATTAGTTATGATTTTTTCAGATAGACGTGAATTTAAGGTAATAGTCAGTTAATTTCAAATTCAAACACAAAATATAAAATAAACACCGAAATCGAAAATAAATAGCAACCCTATTATAACCCTAAAGTAAAAAAAAAGGAAAGTGCTTCATCTAAATATTTTTTCGTTTTAAACTGTTCTATAGCAATAGAGCTTTCGACTAAAAAAATAAAAATTGCGAAATTCTGAGGTACCTAATGTTTACCAGGCCCTTTAAATGGTTAGTAGAACAAAACTATATGCGTCTAGATTAAAAAAGGAACAAACTGGAACAAGTTTTATTATACAAAAAAATGGAAATCGTTACCAAAAAGCGATAAGAAGGGATACTAAGTATAAAGTTACTCTACCTTATGTCTGAAGGCGGAGGCCTGAGATCGGATGCCGACACTTCGGCCCTTTCTAGATCCTGAGGATGGTGATGAGGGTTCTTGTCCACCTGTCACACACTGCCAATCAGACACCACTCATCAACACGAGCACTGACTTGTTGGTGCAATAGTAGTTTCAATACAGACAAAACATAAGACTCTCTTTCTTATGTTATTTGTCGTGATTGAACGAGTGAGTGATTTTAGTTGAATTGGAAAGTAAATTATAAATATGAGTAATTTACCGTGAGAGACCCCCCATTGATCATGTACATTCATTTTCATAAGTTTGAAAAGATTGTAAAAAATTATATTGTAAGTAAAAATTTGGTACACTTGCCTACTGGTATACTTTTTACAAAACAAACGACATTTATCTAATTAATATAATTAATTGACTTAAGTATCGTATACTTGAAATCAGTTATGCAAAAAATATTTGTTAATTTGGTATTTGGAAGCCTTTTTCAATAGTATGACATAATTTTTTTTTCTGCGGAAATGCATAATCCGGAGTTTAACCATACCATAGTTTAACCAACCTTTTTTATTGCAAATAATTAATTTTCATACAATTTTATGACACCCGTATTTTTTTATTTTATTTCAATTTCATCCCATTTTTTTAAAAAATTAATCAATACCTATTAAGAATTTCAAATTTACACTTTGGCAATCTTTGACGTCACCTATCAAAAGTGTCACGGTTTGCCACCAGAGACGCTGGTGGCCGGCGTCGAAGCGGTTTGAAATCTAACCTCGAACCCTCGAACGCCTCGAATATCCGAACAACTTTGGTAGTGTTTAGTGCTTCGATAAAAATGGCAGTAACCTATTAATTATAAAAATTTAAGTTTTAATTTCTAAAAAATGTCTATACCTATGTGGCGGATTCATCTCTCCAAAAAAATTCTTAATGGGTATTTCGCCACTGCACAGCAAGAAAAATCTACAAAATAAAATAGTTATTTTTTGTAAACACTCTTGCGTTAAACCTAAACATACACTGCTTGTCAGAAGTTATGTTTACAGTAATACAAATTTGCCTAACAAAGAAAAAAATGCTTAACGTTTCGGAAAGTTTATCTCTTTCCGTCGTCGGAAGCAAAAAAATACAAAGAATAAAGAAAAAAACTATTTAAAATATTTCGAACTATTCAAGAACACTTTACTTTTTTTAAAACAAATACGTCTACAAGAAATCGTTGACGTTCTGTTAAAATGACATTATATCAAGTAAAACTTCAAAATTAACAATTACTATCTGATAACTATTATTTAATAAGGTAAAACGAAAAAACCCAAACTTTCTATATGATTATTTTTAAATTTTACTTATGTTATGTTTATTTTTGTTATGTTCTTTAAAATCAAAGAAGCGATTGCCATACATTACTAACATCTACAGATGCAAGAGCAATACATTTATTTTTATTAGATTGAATTAAAAAAGACTCTTTTATTTTTCGTTTAGAGGCTATCGCTTCTTTCATTATAATTTTGGCGTTATTAAAAAATTTATTCTGTGCCCTGTGTCCGATGAATGCTGACAAATCTTAGATTTGTAAAAATCTCCCTTTCTTAAATAATCTTTATGTTCTTTAATTCTAACATTTAAGGGTCTAGATGTTTCACCAATGTAAAATTTATCGCATTCACAGGGTATGTGGTATATTACATTTTTTGTTTGTTGTTCTGTATTCATTGGTTTAGTATGTGATAAAATGGATCTAAGTGTATTTTGTGTTTTGAAAGATGTTCGTATGTTATATTGTTTTCCTATAATTCTTATTTTTTCTGAAACGCCTCGTATGTATGGAATTGTAAGTTGTATATATTGTGTATTATTATCATTGTGTCTATGATTTGGGGTTTGTATTTCGTTTAATGTTTTGTCAATAAAATATGGTGGATAATCGTGTTTTTAATGCTGATAGGTGACGTCACAATTGTCTATGCGTCATTTCAAAGCAGTGAAATTTGTATTGAATTTGATTTATTATTTATTGCTTAATTGTAACTTCGTTGCATTTCTAATATTATTGCAGTGCAGTGGCGAAATACCCATAAAGGATTTTTTGGAGAGTTTTAATTTCTAGTAGTAAAAATATAAAAGTAAATTTAATATTGGGGTAATAAAGAATAATCCCACATAAAAAAGTATTTTTTATACGATCTTAAGTTTAACGATCTTAATAAAAATATAAAAACGTGATTTTAATATATATATGGTGTAAATATGGTAGCAGAGAACTAGACACGCCATAATATTATTCTTCAAAAGCTCGCACCCTCTGTCAACTATTCAGTCAAATGCTGTCATTCAGTCAAACACGTCATTTCAAACCAGTGAAATTTGTATTGAATTTGATTTATTATTTATTCCTTAATTGTAACTTCGTTGCATTTCTTTTTGTATTGAAGGAGTACTTTTTAATCACTTCAATTGATTTTTATATTAAAAATAACTAAAATTTACTATGGTTAAACACCGGATTTTTTGTTTCTCAAACTTTAGAATACCTGAAACCAGTTACATGAAAACACCTTTCTGTTTTTCATTCTAGAAAATTTTCTGAACATAGACACCAAAATAAAAACACTAAATTGATGTCTAAATTACAGTATCTATTAGGTTAAGTTCATACATACACAATAAAAGTGTTTAGAATGTAAAGCAGGACCACGTTTTCATGTAGAGAAGCAAGAGAATGATGTATTTCCCCAGAGAAATTTTTATGAATTTGTGTTTGGGGAGGCTTCTATATACTGGATGTTTTTTTATAAGTGATTTCAAGTAAGAAAAAAACTTCACCAAATTATTTTTTTTTTTTGTATATTTATAAATATATTATCCTTGTGCATTTACCATGGTATCAACATTAGTTTTTACAAGTAAGTAGGGTATCTATTATTTACTGGTATTTTCTAATAGATCCTAAGACTTTTTGAAAAACTTTCAAACTATCGAATAGCATGTAAGTAAGTTTGTCTGTCTCTGATAATAATTTAAAAAAACCTTAGATCATATTTATAATATTTAACGCTTAATGAAGTTGCTTGTTGGAATATTAATTATACTTTTATGGTATATATTCATAATAATCAACTCAACTAAATTTAAGTTTAGTGTATTTAGTTTCATACTATTGAGTAAATCAATATAAAATGACTTAATATTAATATGTGCCCAGTAATAATAAAGCAAAGGTAATAAAACATATTTATGAGTAAATTTTATTAGCAAACATCTAAATAATACAAAAACAAAAAATAATATTAGGTATAAACAAAAAAATACAGAAAAGCAATAAACTGAACATAATATATGTATTTCTAATAAACCTGATATTTAAAAAAATAATTTTTTTTCATTGTCTTAGAACTAACAATTAATTTAATGCAAGAATGAGACAAAAACAGTTCAACAAAATCACGTTTTAGTTTAAATCTACATTGATCATATTTTTTTTAGTTTTCTTGATATAACTTCAAATTGATATAAGCAAGCACGAAAAAAAATAGAAACAAAGGGTAAAGAAAAAAAAAGAAAAATAATTGCAATAAGACTAGTAACAATCTAACCAAACAGCAATCACATAATTTTATGCTACTGATACAACATGCATAGCAGTGAGAAATACTAGAAAGTATATTGTTTAATATAAACATACGGTCTTGTATATTTATAATCTTAAATAGTTATAAATAAATTAATTAAGTGTATTAGAAGGGTGGTCATTTATATATACCAGTCTGAGATCTCTTAAACCTAAATAATTATTTATATTAAAAAAGTTTGACTAAGATGTTATATGATAAATATGGAAAATAAAAAATCTTGTTACCAGAAATATTAAATAAATGTATATGTTTTTTTAACCAGAAACAGTCCTGGATTATATTTACATATCTTCGCTATCGAAACATGAAGGCAAATTTCAAAATAGAGCCAAAAATTAGTTGAGTACGCCATTGTTAAACCACAACATACAAAATAATATATCAGCCGTGTTCTTATGAAGCGGCATAGCTTAATTCAGTATTCCTTGTCTATTATTCAGGATGGTCCGAACTGTTTTCCGGAAACTTCGGCAGCATATTCTGCAGATAATAATAATTAAAAAAAAGTTCGTATAAATATATGTCCTTAAATGCTTAGTTTCGGAGATACAGAGTGTAGAAGTTTCATTTTTACTTCGATTTTTTCCAAATAATTTCTGCAGTAACGTCAATATTTGGATGAAAGTTGATATCTGGGAGTTTTTTGACACGAGAAATTTGATGTTGATGTCAATATGACTCCTACTTGTAGAGGGTGCCACCTACATATTTGTTAATTGGTTTGAAGACTAATAACTTTTCGTCCGTACCTGTATAAAACTACTGAGTAAAAAATATACATTTACGACATTTTACGTAAAAAAGGTCTCTTGGTAAAAATCGCTACGAGTAATGGTTCTCAATAGATATTTGGAATCAAAATTATCAATACCTGTCATCATTGACATAAATTAAACATGATGTTGACTAAATAGTTATCAGACTGGAATCATAAATTTGAAATGTTTTTGTGTCAAAAGTTCAACAGAAACTGTTTTATCGTCATTTTTTTCCAGAAAAATCTATGATTAATTTAAAAAAATAAAAATTTCCCAAATTTACTATTTCAGTCAAATATTATCTACTCAACGTGTTTATTTTTGTCAATAATGACATGTATGGACTATTTCCATTTTAAATATCTTGAGAACGGTTGCTCTTAGCGATTTTTACCAAGATACATTTTTTACGTAAAAAATCACAGAAATATATATTTTTTCACTCAGTAGTTTTATACAGGTACAGACAAAAATTTATTGCTTTTCAAAACATTTAAAACACATGTAGGTGGCACCCTCTACAAATATGAGATTGACATCAAAATCAAATTTCTCATGTCAAAAAACTGCCAAACACCAATTTTCATCCAAATATTGACGTTACTTCAGAAATTAATTGGAAAAAATCGAAATAAAAATGAAACTTCTATACCCGGTATCTCCGAAAGTAAGCCTTTTAGAACATACATGTATACGAACTTTTTTACTTGTTTTTATCTGCAGAATATGCTGGCAAAGTTTCCGGAATATAGTTCGGACCACCCTGTAGATAGTTAAACTTTGGGCGGTTCTGAAATAATAGTATAAATTATAAATTATTAAATTATATGATAGTTCCTCGAGAATGGCGAGATCTGTACTCATTCCTGAATTGAATGTGAGAGCGAGAGTCAATAAGTTCAATATTAAACAGTTACCTTATACGTTTATAAAAAATAAAAAAAAATATGACAAAATAATTTTTCTATTAATAAAATTATCTTCCTGCATAATTGGTGTTACGAGTTTAATATAGATTTTAATGCTTGTATATCAATAATTCCAAGTTCATTAGAGTATTTTTAATTAGTATTAATATTTAAGAAAAATAAGTATAACTTATAATTTTTAATACATAATTATGTCCCTATCTATCTACACGACGGGGAGCTAGGAATTCTCTGTAGAGTCCCCCTTAAAAATGACCACCCCTAAAAATTAACGTTTAGTAAATTTTGTTTCATACTCTAGTAATTCAGACTAATTTTGCTTTAGGAATATAAATTAAATATATATAATGTGTACATTTAGATTAACTAAAACAATACACTTTTGTTCTGCAAACTTAATCATAGTTCAAGTCAGCTTCTATATCACGACTAGTAGATGGCTGGCAAACGTGCGGTATATGCGAACGTACCTTGTTTAAAGCTTCGAGCACCTTGTCTGGCATGTGGTCCTGTATCATCACCGGTGAAATGAGTACTTCGTCAAAGTCGGTGTTGGAGGCCCAAAGAGCCTGATAAACTGGCTCCTTCGATGATAAAGCTTGTCTAAAAATTGAATATTTTCAATACTTGTTTGTAATGTAATGGTTGAAACACCAATAAGCTAGAATACTCTATCAAATACAAAATAGGTATAAAGTTCTCTTTAGGGGCCTTGGAGGTATTCCTATAAACTCAGATTATACAGCCAACATTTATGTATTTTTTGTAAATTAAACATTATTTTTTGAGAACTATTTGGTATCGGTATAATATCAGTAATTAACTAACATATTATAATTAGCGATGGGAACTATCGAATGAATTAGACTATCGAATGGTTACTGAATGAATGATTCCAACTATCGAATGGTTTTATTCGAATAAAATCATTCATCTCATTTGTATACTAAAGCATATGTGTGTTAGTATTCGTTTGATTTTTGCGTGCGTCAATGCATTATTAGACAGTTAAAGCACGGCCAAAGACGTAGACGTAAACGTATCGTTTGACATGTACGCTTGCGCAGTGTAAAATTCACTTGCGTTTACGGATACGTGATACGTATCTTTACGTGCCTTTACGTACGTACAAGACGCAAACGTATCGAGCCGAAGGAGTTTCGATTTTCACCCGAATGATGCCGAACGTACAAATTCACAAACAACTCGTTTCCACAACTGGCTAGTAATTAAGTTATTTCATAAATTTTGGGGCCAGTGTCACAGAACTGGGCCTATTGTATTACAATAAATTAGTATAAAAATATTAAGCATCATAATAAACTCATTTTGGAATCTATTTAATTAAATGCTAGTTCTTATAAGCAAAACCATAATATGAGGATTCTAAAAGACGGAATCTAATAAATAATCATAAAGCTGTGTCTGTTTTCCAATATTTTTTTATTACGAAAAGCATTTTAAGTTGTAAGGACTACTTTCTGTAATAAATTAATTTCCATTTATAATTTTCTTCAGTTTTCGATATTACTTTTATAAATTTAATGTGGAATCAATGGAGTAATAGATATCCATTTTCAATTTTAAAATTAAATAAATTGTTTCACAAAATAATTTAGAATTACAAATGTACCATTTGCGTTACGTACGTCAAAATACTTGCTTTAACTCTTGTTTACGCGACAACGCAACGGCAGACGTAACGTAAGTTTCTGCGTTACGTGTCGAGAGATACGTATACGTATTGTGACTTGCTTTAACTGTCTATTAGTTCTTCCAAATATTTATAACTTCGCCTGGTAAATACTGTCCTATTTTTGCGTTTATTAAAATACTAAAATAGTAGTTTTTTTTTAAATTGGCGATTGTGTGCGTGTGCAGGTGGTCAACATTTTTCCGAAAATTTGTGTGATTTTCCGTAGCCCGATCTTTCAATTATTTAATTTTATATGGTAATATGGTCTTTTTTTTTAATGGAAAATTTTGAGAAGTAGCTATTTTTAAGAGAGATGAGATGAACTTACAATTAATTTTAAAAATACATATTTGTATTTTAGATGTTTTAATAATATGAATTAGTTGAACTTAATAATTAAATTGAAAATTTAACACGTGCCAATTTAAAAAAAAAGTTAACGATATTTGTATTTTGTTTATGCTAATTCTATTACACGTAGTTTTTTGGGAAAAAATATTTCAATATTTTTTAAAGTAAATGCCAGTAAAAGTAAATATTATTTTTAAATAGTAATATAAATAATTTTGATTTTTAATTTTTTATTTATATTTTCCTTCCATTGCACTGCATGCTTAGAAAATTAATAAATGTTTATATTCCATGATTTTTAAATTTGTTGCTAATATAACAAAAATTAGTTCTGTAATTAATATTATTTAATAAACCAACGTTGCCAAAAAATTTAGAGACAATATTATTTTTAAATAGGATCTAATATAGGTAAATAATTTTGATTTCTAATGTGTTGTTTATATTTTGCTACTACTTAAAAAATAAATAAATGTTTATATTTCATGATTTTAAATTTTGTTGTTAATAGGTATAACAAATTATTACTGTTATTATTTATTAAACCAGTTGCTTAAAAACATTAGAAATCCTTTTCCTACATTCAAAATAAAAAGTATTATTGCAGTGTAACAACAAAATATTAATAAAAAAAAATGCAAAATATATAGACATACTATCAACTAATACCAAACAGTAATATTCTTTGCTAATAGCAAACCTAACAAAACAGCGCCCTTCATAATGCATTTTCTGTGTAAATACTAGCACCTCAATAAAAAAAATAATGTGTCCTTATCTTTATCTGACTCCGCAAAAAATCAAAGATGCCGGCTTCTTTCATACCATTCCTTGTCATTGCCACCGACCTGTGTCGGGTTTTATAGGAAAAAAACTTACGAAGCCGGGCGACAGCAAAAATCCAAGTTATATTTTATTATAATCGATCCTGACCAGAGACTTAAAATAAAATAATTTTAAGTCTATGATCCTGACGAATAAATGAATTTTATAAATTAATGGTTTTTGCTGTCGAATTACTAGAATAGAACATTTCAAGGCAAATGACTCATCTATTCGATAATTTTTATTCGAATAGTTTTCGACGAATGTTTCCTTACTAGCTATCGAATTATTCGAATGAATTGCAACTATCGAATGTTTCGATAGTATTTATTCGATAGTTCCCACTACTAATTATAGTTGTCGATAAAACAGAAATTTCAATTCACTGTTATTTCAAATATTACTCCCACTTTTCATACGATATTTAATAAGCAATTCAAAATTTAATGTTCATTCTGAAAGACCCTTATATTTTATGAACAAAAAGAATAATTTATTTTTATATAAAAAATAATTAATGTTTAAGTGAAATCAATTTTATGTTTTAAACTAGGTACGGAGGGATCACCAATGAATTTAGCGATATTGAATCCATTTATAATTTTATTTTATTTAGATAGATATCATAATTCGGTGTTTAACCATAGTAAATTTTTGTTATTTTTTATATAAAATTCAATTGAAGTGATTAAAAAGTACTCCCTCAATACAAAAAGAAATGCAACGAAGAAGGAATAAATAATAAATCATATTCAATACAAATATCACTGGTTTGAAATCACGTCACCTATCAGTATTTGTCTGAATAGTTGACAGAGGACGCGAGCCTTTATAGGATAATATTATGGCGTGTCTAGTTCTCTGCTACCGTATTTACACCATATATCTTAAAATCACGATAGATGTTTCTATTTTTATTAAGATCGTTAAAAAATACGTTTTTATGTGGGATTATTCTTTATTACCCCCATATTAAATTTACTTTTATATTTTTTACTACTCGAAATTAAAACTAAATTTTTTATAATTAACAGGTTACTGACCATTTTTATCGAAGCACTAAACACTACCAAAGTTGTTCGGATATTCGAGGCGTTCGAGGGTTCGAGGTTAGATTTCAAACCGCTTCGACGCCGGCCACCAGCGTCTCTGGTGGCAAACCGTGACACTTTTGTTAGGTGACGTCAGAGATTGAAAGTGTAAATTTGAAATTCTTAATATTGATTAATTTTTTTAAAAAAATGGGATGAAATTGAAGTAAAATAAAAAAATACGGGTGTCATAAAATTGTATGAATATTAATTATCTGCAATAAAAAAGCTATGGTTAAACTCCGGATTGACTAAAAAATGTTCACGATCTTCACAATCAAAGTATTAGTGCAAAACAGTAGTTCTGGAAGGTGCCTATAAAAACACCACAACAAAAGTATAAAAAAATATAAGGGATAATACTGAAATCCATAAGGTAACTTCTACTTTTAATACTGGATTTGAGGACATGCATATGAGGGATTACGTTTCTATTCAATTGTTAAGTATTTCGTCAAAAGTATGCCACACAAGTATAAAGCTGAACCATATTATTTTAAAAATTATATATAAAATAGGACAAACGAAATACTTATTGAATTTTACCATTTCACGTCACTATCATGCATTAAATGCAGGATCACTGAAAAATAGTAAAAATATTTTACCTCCATCTTTTTTCATACTTTTGTCTGTAAATAGTAAAATATAGAGTTAATAGTGTATTTTGTATAATTTACATATGTGATTCGAAATGCAAGAAGAACTAAGCAAGAAGTTGCAACAAAAAATGCAAAATATAACAAAATAATTTAATTTTTTGGACAAATGTTTCAATAACAACCCAAGAAACATTTGAAGGTAAAATTACGTTAAATTAACCACCGACTATTATTGACCAACTGGAAATTGGTCCAAATTTACAAGAATTGACGTTAAAATTCCCAAAGTGGAGAATAAAACTAAAGTAATTTGGAAGTTAAAAACAGGTTAACAGGTTATAATATCTTGTATATCGGCTATGAAGTCAAAAATAACCGACCTGAGGTCATAACATGGTAAAATAGAGGTAAATTTTACTAAAAATATTCCTAATTTATACTACCTACATTTTAACATGGGAAAGAAAGAAATAATAAGGTAAAGTATTTTTCTTTTTAATATGTGTATGTAAATGAATTTCCCAATAATGAACCAGGAAGACAAACAAGTGTAGTAATAACTGACATGGCCGTTTGAACATTAATCCAATATGGATGAAATACCTACATATATGCAATTCCTAGTAAAAATAAATAAGTTGTTGGTAATGGTTGTAATCCACTTAGGATTACAGGATTCGCAAGATAATTATGTCTGCGGAGAAAATTTTTCTGTGAGATGTAAATATGATAGGTCCTAAAAAATTATGCACCATTAAAATTTTATGTATTTTCAACAATTAATTTTAGAATAAGTCGTTACTTTCAAGGTTCTAACCTAACTTTTTTTCAGCTAACTTCCTTGGTACACTTTTAAAATTTTCTTAATTAGTTAATTTAACTTGTGGTAGGTAGTATTATTCATAAACGTCTATTTATTTTTCTCAATAGTTTAGAACAATACCACAAAAAAAATATATTTTGAAAACAAATTGGATAAGAAAATGGCCGCTAATGGTGTTTTTAACTATTCGTCTATGAAGTTAGGTTTTCCATAATTTTAAAACCTTAAAGTCCGCTTTCTTTTTATGAGGTTAAGATTTCTTTAAATTAATAACCTCTCTAAAGGTCAAGATTTCTTGCTTAAGGTATTTTTTCTTCGAGGTGCAAGTTAAAAAATGGACTTAGGTCGAAGCTCATTTCTCGAAGTCTTGACTACATTGTTGGAGTATCGCCGGTAAAACAGAAAACTTTTATTTTCTTTGAGTGACAGTTGACAATGATATTTTATGCTAAGTTCGGTAGTTACATCTTCGAGCAATCTGATTAACTTTTCACAGTAATCAAGTAATCATGTGTCCTAAAAGGAGAATCTTTATTGAGAGTCACGTGAAATGTCAAATTTTTATCCTTTTGCTGGCCGATGCAATTACCGAACTGACCTAAATTAGAACACTAACTAGAAAACCAAATTAGTTTTCTTTGCCTATTATTTTTAAAAGTTTTGTGTTTTGGAATTGTGGAATTTCACATAATTTCACAAAATATTCTTTCGTTCCCCACCAGTGGGAACAAAGTAATGTGCTATGACGTAATAATCCCTCGAAAACTATTTTAAACGGAAATCACCCCGAGGAAATTAAAAAAGGTAATTTTTAACCTGCCGTATGTCTGACTTTCTTCCAAGTCAAAAAACTAAGTTACTTTTACCATTGAAGCATAATAGCGACTTATGAGATCGAAATAAATTTTCAACCTAATTTGAACTTCTCCAAATAAGGTCCCATTTAAAGTTATTAACAACTAACTTTTAACCTTACTTGAAAACCAAACAATGCCTTCGACACCTGAGACAAATTTGAGGTTATAATAAAGTAACATTTAGCCTACTTTAAGTCCCTGTAGTCTTAATGCCCTCAATAGGTTATCAGTAACTAGATTTTAACAATGCCAGCTAACTCCAACGTTGCTACTTTTCAAAGGCATAATTTTAGGTTATTATTAACTAGTTTACGACCTCATTTTTAGATTTCTCGCACTTTATTCCCTACAAGAAATTTACTAAGTATAAGTAAAATTCAACCAAATAGTGGTTAATTTTCCGTGGTCATTGGTTTTTTCTCCTTCCTATGCTACTTGGGAAATGTCCAAAAGTATCTAAATCTAAATAAAATTATTTTTATTTGTCTAATATAGAAAAAAATGTCTTTTATGTCCCATGTAATCATATGGATTTGACTGCAGAAAGTTTAAGTAAAGAAATAATATTATGTATATTAATAATAATTACATTCATATTCAATTACGGATACATATTTATAAAATATTTTATACTCTTGCTCAAGGTATACTTACTGTCCACTAGTAGGATGATGTCTAACGACATGAATTATTCTTCCTGGTGGATAAAGCGGTTGATGACTAGTTAGAGCTATCGTGCTATCTGAGGGATGAATGCCCATACACCTAGCGTTATGTTTGCTTCTCATGTATTCGGAAACTTCTGTTTCGCCAGTTGACATTTCAACTGCTGATGTTGGTTGCGAACACCCGCAGCATATTATGCTGCAAGTTATGGTCTTCCACTAAAAATACATCACAATTTTAAATTATTTTCATTTTGAAGTCAGTGGCGGCTTAACCATAAGGTCAAATGGTCCACGAACATATAATTCACGTTCATACAATATATCTTGGAATGTGAAACGCACTTCTATATCACTTGAATAGGGTGGAACGTAATCTCTGTTATTCATGTGCCATATATGTTCCCAATGAAAAAAAGGAATGTGAATAGAACATTGTTGTTCTCCAAAGTCACTTGCTTCGCATATGAAAAGAACGTAAATGTGCTATCTGGGAAACGTTTTATTTTAGCCATTTTCCCTACTGCCGGTCAAAATTTCATTTTGTCCTTCGTTCATTATAACCCATTATCTAATGGGTTAATTCATTATATCATTAAACTCCAAATGCCGCGGTCCGTAACGCCAACAAGGTAAGGGATACTACGTATAGAAAATATAACGGGTTAAGGTGCGATATATATAGTTTATATTGGCCATTGACCGCGTTATTCATAAAAGGATTTCATCGTTGGAAAAATTTCGCCGTTTAGGAAGTTTGGGTGTTTATAAAAACTCAAATTATAAAAGAATCTAGATTTTTTGTGTCGTTTATCTCGTATATTGTTTGGTTTAGTTAATATAAAGCAATATTTAAATTTTTAATATCGAAAGAAATCCCATCTAGTTTGAGGTGTAGCGCGAAATTTGTATAGGTAATAATTCATAATTTTCTGGTTATGGATAAATGATGAACTGTGGTTGACTGATTCTGGAATAGATATTTTAAAATAGACAACATGGTGTTTACTTTGTGAAATCGTGCGGTTAAAAGAAAACAATTGCTTAAATTTCGAAAAACGTTTAGAGAAAGAACGCTACATTAACTTAAAATATAAAAAAAAAATGTGAAATAAAACTTTTAGAATTGTGTATGTGTATATAGGAGGCAGATGCCGAATTCGGCCTATGTCCGAAATAATTAGACATATGGCGATTATAATTAAATATACCTACCTATATCCACAAAGTTACGCGGAAGAGTTTAATTGCATTGGTTTCAACTTCTATACGGAGGGTGTTAATCTTTTGTTGTTATATTATACCAAAAAAAGATTAACCCCCTCCTCAAAGAAGTTATATAAAGACTATTTATAACCACGAAGTTGCACGCATCTGGCAAGTTTAGTATGGACAAATCGCCATATATCTAATTATTTCGGACATCGGCCGAATTCGGCATCTGCCTCCAACATATATATGCATTTATATATTTGTGACATTATTATTTACTACGAGTAGTTGAAGCCTGGCGTACCCGCCACGACATCAAGAAAAAAAATAATCCTTAATTTTTTTTTAATTAAATGAAAAACAAAAAATCCGGGGATGACAGTTTTTAGAAGAGCCAATTAGCTATCTTTTGGTAAAAAAAGCAACTTTCTAGAGCAAGTCGTTACTTCAGTAGAGACGACACAGATAAACATTAGCATTTTATATTATGTAGATGTGTATTTTAAATCATACAGTGGAAAATTTGTGTAAAGAACATTGACTGGATTTTTAGTGAAATGGCATTAGACCACCTGTTTAAAAATGTAAAGGTAGGTTTCATTTTAACAGAATTTTAGATTTATTTTCCTTTAACTAAAACCTTGTAAGAAACCAATTAAATTTGGGCGCGTCCGAGGGCGCGCCTTAAAAAAATCGACGCAATATTTTTCGATATTGACCTCGCTACAATAATGACCACGAGCCGCCACTGTTTGAAGTACTAACATCTATTTCAAATTATATTTATTAAAAGAAATCTTAAAAGCTGGTTTTGTTAAAATTTCTTAAATAACTTTTTTATTATAAGTAAAATTCGAATGCTTACTTTTGGATCTACACTGCGCTTGATAGCATTAATTAAGTCTGTTCTAAGGGTCTCCATTTGGTGAAGCCCTATTCTAGGAACTACATCTTTGCCTACAACTACTGACACGGTAAATTCTTTGGTGTATTCTACTACAGAGGCAGACAGTAAACCCCCTGGAGGTGAATAACAAAAACATTGCAAGGAGGAATACGCCTGACGCATTAGGATTCCCAGAATGCTTGCTGTACCTAAAATCAAAAAACATTTTAAAATATCCATATTGCAAAGTAAAAATAAATGTAAAAAAAATAAATCTAAATTTACTAAGCTTTTTTGAAAATAATCGAAAATGTCAGTCGAAGTTGAAACTGGAACCTAGTTTTATTTAAATTTTAAATTAAAATGTTCCCTAGTGTCATAATTAATTGTCTTGTAAGCCTTACACAAATAATTCGGATTTTATGGCTAACTGAACTGAGATATTCCCTTAATGTGACGAGAATTGGGACATTTACCATATATATGTTACTGCAAATGTCCGAAATGCGGTAAAACCTAGGATTTACCAAAAGCAAGTAGTAGTAAAAACCAACCAACCCCACCAAATAACCACCTAACCAATGCATTAACACCCCCCAAATAACCAGGCTAACCTAATTAGTTAATGGTTTTGGTAAATCCTAGGTTTAGCGCGCTTATCCTAGGTTTTACCGCATTTCGGACATTTACAGTGACATATATAAAAAATGAGTAAATACTTTAAAATAATCATGCTAAAATTAGATGAATAATTTATTACAGTTTTTGAACCAGTAATAAATAAAGGTCACAGTAAATGTTTTTAGACAGGGTGGCGCCTCTCATACGGCGCGGAGGCTCCAAGAAGAACGATGGTTTGTATTGCAATGAAATCAACATACCTGTCTAATTAAGGCAATTTTAAAAACTAGTTATCATTTTGTGTCAGTTAAAACGAAAAAAAATTCTTAGAAATTTGCCGAAACTGGAAACTTATCCTACATCAGAGAGAATTGATATGATTCTATTAGTCGATGAATGTAGTATGCATTTACCAGTTAATTAATAGAATATTTAACTGCTCCGGATTTTATCTAGCCTGGGCTTTTTCATGCGGATATGTTAAAGACAGTGTTTACAAAACTCGGCCAATTATTGTCGACAACATGAGTGAAATGACTGTACCTGCTTTTCGAAGTAGGACTCCACATATATGACTTTTAACATGAAAATATCCTTTGAAAAGACAACAATTTTATGCAATTGACAGGAAAGAAAGTATTTTGAGCATTTGATTTAACCTAGCTAATTGTTGCTAATCTAGCTATAATTGATTGTCTATACGTTTATATCGAGTTTTAATTCTGTAATCATGAAAATATATGTCTTAAACGTGTATCTTTTTCTTCTTCTTAAAGTGCCTATCCTCTTTCGATGTTGGCTATAACATTGATCCATATTACTTTGTTCACTGCCGTTCTGAACAAAGCTGTTGACGTCAATCCGGTCCATGTTCGTAGATTTCATAGCCACGATATTCGTCTGCGTCCCGCTGATCTTCTGTCTTCTATTTTCCCCTGCAGTATAAGTTGGAGTAGGCGGTATTTCTCGTTCCGCATGATGTGTCCGAAGTATTCCAGTTTTCTTTGTTTGACATTTACCAGAAATTCCAACTTCTTGTTGATGCGATGTAGTACAGTTTCATTTGACACGCGATGCACCCACGAAATCCTAAGCATGCGCCGATAGCACCACATCTCAAATGCCTCCACACGGTTGCATGATGCGTCGGTAAGGGTCCACGCCTCTGCTCCATATAGAAGGGTTGAGAGCACGTAGCATCTCAGCATTCTGATTCTAGTGCGGACGTTGAGGGACAGGTTGCATAGTATATTTCGCATTTTGTTAAATGTCCCTCTCGCGATTTCGATTCGGTGTTTTATTTCGCGAGAGTGGTCCCAGTCTTTAGTCAGGATGCAGCCCAGGTATGCAACCGTCTCGGCCGCTGGGAGAACGATGTTGTTAGCAGTAAACTGAAAGTTGTTGATGTAGTTCTTGCTAATGATCAACGTTTGAGTCTTCTTGCAGTTCATCTTCATTCCGTATCTGCTGCATGTATTCACCACACAATCTATAAGCCTTTGGAGACCTTCAGCTGTATCGGCCAACAAAACGGAATCATCTGCATATCTCAAATTGTTTACTATTTCTCCGTTTATTACCAGCCCATATCAGACTGATTATCCTGTGATCAGAGCATTTGGTCGCGTTTGTCTTCTTACGAAGCGGTATAAATGTTGATAAATTTTATTGAATAAGGTGGTCAGTAGTTGAACTTGTTCCGAGTCCAGAAGTTTATTACCGTTATCTTTTTATTACGGTTAACTATTTTACTTTACATCCTTTAAATTTTGTCAAATTAACAAAAGCTATATCACAGCCATCTAGACTTTTTTCAAATAATAAAGATCTACTAACGCAAAATCACAAATATGAAAATATATAGGAAAATCTTTGTCTGAGAGTTAGACAACCTTAATAATATTTTGAAAATATATGAATTCTCAATTGAATACCGGAATAATACGGATACACATTTATACAATATTACGGAAATATATTGGGCGTTCTATTTGAAATAAAGGAATAATTTGCTTTTAAATGTGACCTATGTTCAATATTAATTTTGTCTCACCCTGTATAACTTTTCGGGTTAAATTTTAATTTGGTTTAACATACAGTGGCTATTGTAATTAAATATCAGGCCAGATAGGGTAAATTATAATTTAGGTAGCTGTTATTGAAATTTAAAATTTATTTTTCATTTTCACAAAATGTAAAATATGTTAAAATCTTCACGTTTTAGGCATATTATGCTTCTTTAATAAAACTCACCTTTATTTTTTAAGCCTCTCACCTATAAGTCAAAAATCAATTAATATACCGTGCTGGCAACTGTTACTTTTGGGTCGGACTTTACATGTGTGGATGTAAGTCGCATATATTATAGGGATCTTATTAAGTCGGAGTGAGAGAAATGCAACGGTGTGCTGTTGCGGTGTTGCCGGTACTCCTTTCCCTATCAAGTAAAGTAAAATCACGATCGCAAACCGGTTATTTCTAAATGACTTTATTTTCGAAAAGATAACTAGATAAAATCATTAGACATGGTTCTGAGTATCTGAAATGAAATTATAAGGATATCGTTAGGGTATCATTTTCTTTTATTACGAGAAAACGTCACTAATCGCGATAATTTAAAAACTCAACTTTTTAACAAATAGCCTCAAGAACTCAAGAACCACTTTAGATATTGAAACTTTTTTTTATTTTAAAGATCAGATCTTTTACAATATGTTTACATAAGAAAAATTCGATAAGGTTGTTTTTTTTTCATTCAAAAATTGTAAACAACCCATCCATTTACTTTTAGAGCATATCAATTTTCAGCAATCGTGTAATTTTTTATTGATAAAGATTTTCACATACTGTCTACGAAGAAAATACAGTAGAAATATTAAGAAAATTTTTGAAAAAACTGCAATCAATTATTTCTAATCGATTTCGAGATATCCAGTTCTAATAGCGCGACTACTGTCGAACACCAACTCAATTCCACTTATTTTTACCAAAAATGCAAGTGTTTCTAGCTTGCACCTAAAAATTTTCAAGCTATAGGAAAAATTACATCGACTCGTTAATAAATAAACAAATAAAGTATCACGAGACGTAGTTAAATCGTAAAGCTGAAAGCATGATGTACACCTTTCCCTAGAACTTTAAGTACCGACAGAGGTACTGATTGGATCGACCGGTCAACTGCGACAAATCTGCTATATCCCTTACCACGTCTCTTAGCAATGTCCACAGTTTCTCGGTTTATTTCATAACTTTGGCAACGTGTTTACTGTTCCCTCTTTGTTCAGTACGTTATAAACGCATTGTACTCTTCTTACATACGGAAATCTCGACCCAAGACTAACCTTTGCCCGCCCTTCGTATAGGGTGTTCCATTACAAAAAACATAACTTTCTATATTTTTAAAAAGTGCTCTAAATTAACCTACGTACGCTCACAAAATTTCATTTAAATACAAACTATCGTTCTCCTTGGAGACTCCGCGTCGTATGAGAGGCGCCATCATATGATTAATAATTTACCTGCTCCTAAAGAATGTCCTACTATAATAATATCAAAGTCTTTTGTTCCTCTCTCAGGCCTTCGGGATCTAGCACGTTCCAGCAACTGTTCTTGTTCTATTTTTTCTAAAATATATTGGGCCGCTTGAACCATTCCTTTATGGCCGGTCCATTCCTCCCTAGGCGGATGTAATGGTATCGTCTCACTTTCAGCGTTTAAGTCCGTCAGGATATCCTAATAGTCAATTGCACAGGGCGTCAAAGATAGATTGTAACAACTTAAATATTCGATAATGTCCTACCTTCATAGACAGAGTTCCTCGAACGCTTATAACAATCTTCTTTCTATCATAATCCAGCGCAACAAAAAAGGGTGTCTCTCCCACATCAACGTGGTAAGTAGCATAAATAATCTCTATATCACCGAGTTTGGTTAGTTTCTGCAAAGCTGCAAAGTTGCACTGACAACAGTTATCTTCTACCACTTCGGCGTCGTCTTCTGAACGTTTACGACAGGGAATGCAACAGCACTGCAATCCTAAATAAAAATATATATTACAATAATATGTGCTAGATTATTTTTAAGTTCTATACAGGGTGCCACAAATTCGGGGTACGAGCATTGGTGTCTCGGAAACCGTAATAGATACGAACATGGTTAAATTGGGGCAAAGTTGCGCTTTAGGATGTTCACAAAGATGCCATCAAAAAAGTTTTAAAAATTTCAAGGATTTACAATTTTTCAAATTTTTATTGTTGCGTTTTTTTTGTGTTCTGCAATGTCCATGTATGTTCTATTATTTGTAATTTTAATGACGTATTTTTTTTAATTGTATGATGATTGGTTAAATCTTTTATTATTTGTATATCTTTGTGCTTTTGTTTGTTTTTTAAATGCTTTGTCGATGAAGCTATTTTGGCTTTTTGTACAATAAAGCGCTATTTATTATTATTATTATTACATAAATGTACAAAAAAATGTTTTAACCAGTTTTATTGGTTTATTTCAAAAATGACATCATATTTCAACAAAATTGGAATGACGGAACGACGAATGACGCACGGAGGCAGATGTGTCTGAACTGGACTTAATATTTTTAAAACTTGTCAAACTCTTGCCCTATTATAGGTTATAATTTTTTTCAAATTATATCAAATAACATCAGTGGCGGCTCGTAACCCATGTGACTGGGTAGGCGACAAAATTTTAGTTGCGTCTATTTGCCCCCCCCCCCCTCTAATTTACATATAACCCTAGCCCAGTTTGTAAATATATGTTATCTCTGGGTTAAAAACATAGCTCAAAAATATTTAGGACAAAATTAAAGCAAAAATAACAGCATTCAACGTAATGACATAATGACTGACATAATGTACAAGTATAGTTTTTATTAATCTATTTTATCTATTATATCTAATATTTCATAAAATAAAATTCGCAAAGATATTTGACTTAGCCGCTCTTATTAACTTATCGAATTGAAATAGCACAGAGACTTTTCTGTAATATCTGTTGTATCGTCTTCTTGCACCGAATAAAATAACGCGCTTATTTCGGATTCTTTTATTTCTGTGACGTGTTCTGAAATACAACCGGTTATATCATTTTTAATAATCTCGGACAAGCCCGAAAAATGTTTCCAATATGCTTTAAATGTTTTTTGAATTTTCATATAAAAGTTTTAAATGCTACGTATAATGAATCATATGAAATATCCCCTTAACAAAATGTGATATATCTCTTTATGAAATATCCCGAATATCCCCTTAACATCGGTAAAGCCTACCGAGCCTCCACGACTTCATGCCAAGGCAACCGGAGATTTCGCGTAAGCCCCGCCCTAATAACTTGTGTCTAGCCCTAGCAGGCAACTATTAAGCCCGACCAATCACGTTAGAGTTTTTGACAAAAACCAATGAATTAACACACTCCAAATAACCACGCTAACCAACCTGATTGGTCAAGCTTAATAGTTGCCTGCTAGGGCTAGACACTTCTCCTTAATATGATACAAATCCGACTTACGTCGCGTCGCTACCGCACGATGGGTTAGATAGAGACAGAAGACTGCCGTACGTCGGGCATCAGCTCTGATAGTAGGCGACTCTGAAATAGCCGAACAAAGGCACTCCAACGGTCAAAATTATTTTGTTTTCTAAGGCAGCGGCACAGTCAGCGGTCACCGTACGCCAGCGGTAGTGTTAATATACAAGACCACAAATTTTATTATATATTAAAATAATATTGATTATTAAAACACACTTTCGTGTATTAACAGTATTTTTATGTATTGCCAACATTAATAGTAAATAATGTAATGTAATAAATCGCTTAAATTCTGCCAAAATCTTAGGGTAGGCGCCGCCTACCTTGCTTACCCTGACGAGCCGCCCTGAATAACTTGCGTTCTGGAAAATCGTAAACAAACCTTATTTAAAAATATAATTGAGCCACATTAATGAAAATTACGTGTAAAAATAATGAAAATAAAAATGTATTTACGGAATAATGTATAATCTTATTTTTATATTTATATCAAACTGTGTTAATAAAAATACGTAACGAATGTGAATAAAAAAGCGTAAATCTGTTTTCATATTCTAATCTATTCTGAATACAAATTTCCAGAAGCCATATGAAATGCAAATTTCAGTTTATATAACAAATTGATTTCCTACCGGTACACAAGCGGCAGACTCCAGTTTTATTCATCATGACGTAAACGGGCCATCCGTAAGCTCTCACAGCATAGTGGGCATAATGTATGACAGTTTGAAAAAGTTCTAAATCGTTGCCGTCCTCGTGGAGCGAAAGAAATTGCGTCCGTGGAGTAATGGCAACACCTGACAAGAACTCGTAAGTGTCATTTTTTCTCTGGGAATAAAAATATTCATTATTCAATGGTTAAAAAACATAAAAATAGTTATTTTTATACATAAAATTGTATTTTATCGTCGGCCGAAAAGATTAATTCGCGAGCGATGAAATCGCGAGTGAATTAACTTCGAGAGACGATAATGCAATTTTATCGTCATGTATAAAACAATATTTTTCCCATAGCGAGTTAAGTTTTAAAAACTATTCAGAAATTATTATTTCGAGGAATTTTCGACGAATATTGTGCTGGGTTGGCGTTGGTTTCTATGTAATTTGACAAATAAATAAAGCTGTCTCTTTAGTTTTGAGTCAATATTTTGTAATTCTCTTTCGTGTCGATTGCTGATTGAATTGGAGCCAGAAATGGCTCAAAACGAAATAAGTAAATTACCAATAGATATTCCGGCTGAGGCGACAAACGCCATATCCAAACTAATTCCATTTAAATCCCGAATAGCTTATGAAAAGGAATACAAAAATTTTCAAAAAAGGAAGCAATTAAAAAACGTGCAAGAAAAAATAAAGTTTTAAACCTATCCTCGCTGTTAAAGTATCATTTAATCTACCCTTGCGGTTGAATACTATTTTATCTACTATTTTTGAATAGAATTAGATATAAGGCAGTTTTAACAGTTGCTATAGAAAAAATTACATTTACATTTGAATTGTAGATGATTCGGTATGATAGCTTTAAAGCAGAAAATAGGAACAATGATTGATAACTATATATTGTAAAAAAAATAAATTTAACTACATTTTTTTGACTAGGCATTTTCTTAAACACATGTGTCTGTCGGGTCAGTCATATTAAGAGAATTAGGTCTCCTACTGGTACAATTTGATTCAAAACTATTCAAAATTTTTAAGACAGCTTTATAAACAAAGTTTTATAGCTTTAAAAATTGAAGTGGCGCAGTCGGTAGGATAACGCCTGAACTTGATTTTTGAGAAGAGCTGGCATCGTTTTCTAGAGAGAATTTTAGTTTGGTAAGGTGCTTTAATTTTTAGTATAATACTTTTGAATTGAAGAATATTATGAAGAATGAATTTTTCTTATTTCCGACACAAAAATTAATTCACAAACATAATAATTTACTATTATTTTATAAATGTATTATTATTTATTTTGTTTCTTTAATATATTATGTCCATAATGTCGGTTTTGATTCTTTTAATTACACAAAAATATAAAATAAAATAAATGAACAGAAAACATTATTCATGTTAACAAATAACTTGCGCAGTCAAAGAGTGATTTATGTGAACGCATCACGTCTAAAATTTATAAAATCACACTATATACTAAAAGTTATATTTAATACTTATAAAATCAGGATATCGTATTTCTTGAACGCTATTTGAATGAAAAACGTGCAATTAAAAGAAATGTGTTTGTACGGATTTAGAATATGCAATTTGATTTAGTATCCAAATTTATAAAAGGCATAGTTCGGAAACCATAAGTCCGGGAACAAAAATGTATAGAATCATTTTTATAGAGAATTGTGTCAGCTTTATGATTATATATAGAGCGTTTTTCGGTAGATGTCATAGTTTCCGTGATATAAGCAAAAAAGTGAAAAAATTGACATTTAACTCCTTCCCACTCCTCGAGCTCATCGTCTATCTTAGGGGACTTTTGACACAATATCAGCCCAAGTTGAGTGGAATAATTTAAAACCATTTTCAAAACTGTGGGATTTTTTTCCACCGATGGGACTTTTTTTTACCTAATTTGACTGGTATATCTATAAAATCATTCAACTATAAAGCAAAATTAAGAAAAAAGAGGTTTTTTTAATAAAAAAGTACCTAGTTAGTTTTAACATTGTTGGACTTACCTGTTCGACAATAGCTTTTCTTTCAATTTTCTGGAATTTTCTCAACAAAACGAGTCCAACGATAACGTCAGACGGCACCACATCCAAGTCGCGAAAGAAATCTGAGAGCAATCGAGCGATATCGGCAAAGGAATTACGATTGCGATCTGAAGGAGCAGAGCAACAAAACAAAAATCGACATCTATTATGCCAGCTATCTTGGTAAGCCCTCAGAACTTTCCTACAAGAAAAATATAAACATTATTAAATAGTAGAAATGTTGAGCTTTCCAGTATTTGGGCTTATGCAAAAAACATAACTATTTTTCGTAGATTTATTAGCAATTTTCTTTTTTTTTAATTATGTAAACAATTAGTAATATTGTTAATATTTTAGTGTTGCTAGTGAATGTTTAAAATTTATTTTAATTATTAATCAAACACAGTTTCATTTTTTTTATATATAGGGTGTCTCAATATTCCGTGGACATAGTATTACTATGCGTGGACTGCGTTTTCTGGGAATCAAAATAAGTTCATTGGACACAGTTTACCTACTACCAGGAACTTATTGCGATTCCAAAAATACGCAGTGGTTCTATATCCTTGGAACATTCGGACACCCTGTATATATAAACGTTTGAAGTGTAAAGACCAAATTTTTTTTGCATTATTAATTATTAAATTGCCTCGCATATAATTTTATGTCAAGAACTATATACAGGGTACGGCAATAGTGCTTCGGGCATCTGTAGCTCCTAGAATAAAAAACTTGGGAATAACTAAAGTATGTGCTAGGATGTATTTCAGGAAAATATTTTAACTTCTACAGGGTGGCTCAAAAAAGTGTGAGTGGATCGGAATATTTTTTTAATGGAACACCCTGTATATTATTGCATATTTAGCTTCGTTTCTGATCATTTTACATAATCCTAAGATATGAATAAATATATTTCGATAGTTTCAGAAATGTTTTGCAGCCTTTCTTAAAAAAATATTCAAAATACAAGAACTGTCCTAAAATCAAAACTATATTAGGTATTTACTTTAAGATGGTCTGTACTTACTTTGGTATAAATATCGTAATCTTAAATCATACAGGATGTTCAAAATTTTAAGCCTAATAAAAAATAAATTAAAATAAAATATAAATAATAAATAATATAAAATATATTTTTCTAATATAAAATAATTTTTCTTCGTTTTTTTTAATGGAACACCCTGTATATTATTTTTTTACTAGATGGATAATTAAAAAATGAACATTTAATGTATTTAAAGGATTTCAAAATTTTTAACGGTTTCGTAGATACAGTAGTATTTCTATATATATGTTTATTATACTATTTCTTTTTTATAATGGCTCTTTCAACAGTAAAATACGGGTGGCTTTGATAAAAATTTACTGTGGAAAATGCCATATGAAATTTAAAATCGCGAATATCTGCAAAAACCTTAGAAATTTTGAAATACTTACAAAATATGTTAATTTTTTAATTCTCCATCTAATAAAAAAAATAATATACAGGGTGTTACATTAAAAAAAAACAAAAAAAAATATTTTATATTTTAGAAAGGCTTTAGCATCCTGTAGGATTTAAGATTACGATATTTATACCAAAGTAAGTACAGACCACCTTAATGTAAATACCTAATATAGTTTTGATTTCAGGACAGTTCTTGTATTTTTAGTAATTTTTTTAAGAAAGGCTGCAAAACAAATATTTTTTATTTATTTATTAATATTTCTGAAACTATCGAAATATATTTACTTATATCTTAGGATTATGTAAAGTGATCAGCAAGGAAGCCAAAAATGCAATAATGTACAGGGTGTTCCATTTAAAAAAATAATCCGGATCCACTCACCCTTTATTAAGCCACCCTGTAGAAGTTCAACTATTTTCGTGAAATACATCCTAGCATATACTTTAGGTTTGCACTTAACAAAATTCCCAACTTTTTTATTCTAGGAGTTACAGATGCCCGACTGACTGTTGCCGGACGCTGTATAATCATAATTATACATAATTATTATATCAAACTATATTCATTTGTTCAATGGATTCTCCAATGGTGGCAGTACTATCAAGCCTATATAAGATTATCATTTTTATAGTAACTATTTTTTTTTCTAAAACAATTGAGGGGTTTCCGGCAAAAATCTCATTAGTTAGATATTTCGAAATTTGGAAAAACTAAAAAAACGTATATCTTGCTCTCATTTAAATTTAATTGTCTTTTTTTTGTGTGAGCTCTGGTTATAATCTGAAATTACAGAAAACTAGTTTTCTTTATTTTTTTCTTATTTTTAAGTTAGGAAGGGCGTGAATTTGTTTGACTTGTGGGGTTTTTGCTGGAATTTTGGCAAAAACCATGGAAACAACCAAGTCCTCTTAGCAACTGTTCGAACGATTACGAACGACAAACAACCAAACCACAACAAGTAGCGGACTAGAGGGGTTTTTGCCGTTAAGACTTGGTGACTTGCGGGGTCCTTGCGAAATTACGGTATTTTTGATCGTATGCACAGGCTGACTTATAGCACTTTTCCCGAGTTCGTTTGGTAGAAACGTTATGACTAACAAATTACTGTGGGATAGCGCCATTAACTCATTTTACCCATTTATTGACTAATGGGGTTTTTGCCAGAAATCCCTCAATTTAATGTATGTTTAATAATATTGAATATATATGTATATTCAATATTATTAAACATACTATTGAATATATATGTATATTCAATATTATTAAACATCCTTTAATAAAAATATATAAGAATAATTAAAGTGTAACAATAAATTCTTTTTGTCCTGATTTTCTGTTATTCTATCCCCAAGTTAGACCTTAAAATTAGATTTGAGAAAGAGTTTATAATAAAAATCCTTCTGCCGGATCATTTTATGGCAAAATAGGGATTGCCACGCGACACTACAGATAAGGCCGCGCCTTCTTATTACACTTTCAACCCATTTATAACTGGGTTAAAAGGTTTCTTGACATTTTGCGAAGCTTCAGATTTAACCAGCTGTCCTTTATATATAAATATATAGAACAATTTTTGAAAGCTACTTTGCTAAGATAGCTCAAAATACACTATCCTTATAAAAAGTATCTAAAATGAGGTTAATGTATTAAAGGCAATGTTTATATTTTCATATTATATTGCTTTATACTTATTTTAAGGATATAATTAATAAGTAGCAATTAAAACGTTCACTGCACAATTCGATTAACTCCAGTTTATGAAAAAAATACATTTAAATATAAAATGATTTTAAAAAAATACATTTTATCATAAAAACCACTTGGTACCTAGCTTTTTTATTAATTATTTTAATATTTTTCCAAACATCATATCTTACTATTTCTCTAATGTTTGGAAAAATGTATAAATATTAAAAATTAGGAATATACCAAGTGGTTTTACACACAAGATTTACATTTTCCAAAAAATGGAGTTAATCAAATTGTGCAGTGAACGGTTAACTGTGCAGTGAACAGGCTAACTAATCAATTATTATTATTATTAATTCCTTTGTGAATAAATTAACTATACATTAAATACAAAATACATTTAAATATTAATAAAGTGCGTCTCGAAAGTGGCTCACCTCTATAACTTCTTTAGAAAAAAAATCGAGATTTGGTATGTTACTTAGTGATTGACATAAATTAGGATTGATTGACGTGTGCAATTGTTTTTGGTCACTTTCTGTTTCACCGGCAATGACTACAACTTTTGATTTTTTAATGGCACCCTCAGAATATATCTACTTTATTCGATAGAAAAAGACACTTTGAATGGAATGACATATATCGTATGTCAACTTTTGACATTTTAGCTTAAAAAAAATCGTATTTTAAATTTCAATCTAGAGTGCTAGGGCTGTATTAAAAACACTAATGTTTAATCAAGGAGCCTCGGAAAAATAGGTTTGATCCTCTAATGTTTTTCGTGTCTTGTTCTGGCTGTTCTGGCTTTTCGTGTCTTGTTCAGATGCTCAAATCGTATTTTTAATCATATCTCAATTTTTTCAACAGGGGTAGCTAGCATATTTTGGAAAAAGTATTTTTTTGCGAATACTTTGGTACAACACACTTGGTATTTCGAGTCAAATTATCGCTATGAACCTCATGTTACAATTTGAAATAAACCATACGCAAAAATGTCAAAAATTGACAATTTATATGTCACTCTATTTAGAATGTCATTTTTTATTATTATATACTTATAACGCGGGTGCCATTTAAAAATCAAAAGCTGTAGTCATTTCCGTTGAAACAGGAAGTGAGCAAAAACAATTAAATACGTCAATTAATTTTAATTTATGTCACATAAAAAACATACTAAAATACTAAATCTCGTTTTTTTTATCTGAAAAAATATCGAATAATGCATTATTCGATATTTTTCGAGTTCGATATAAATAGGGTGTCCCACAATTAGTGCGGCAAACTGAAAGGGGTTGTAGAGGGCATCAAAACAAGTGATTTGAGTATAGGAACCCATATCTGGAAATATGCCGTTTTGGCAGGAGGTGGAGTGAAACGTAAATTTCAAGTTGCTTTATTTATTCAAAACATTTACAAAAATTGCTCAAAGTGCCGTCCATTCTGTTGAAGATTACAGTTGAGGGTTGGAACCTTTGTTACACAGTAAAATAAAACACTAAATCACCACAATACACCATAACACTTTTACTTTTACACTGGACGCGCATTTCGCTAACCATGTTAGCATCATCAGCAGATGATTAAAAACTAAACTTTTTTTTAACACTTTTACTTTTACACTGGACAAATAGCAAAATAAAACACTAAATCACCATAAATACACCAAAACACTTTTACTTTTACACTGGACGCGCGTTTCGCTAACCATGTTAGCATCATCAGCAGATGACTAAAAAAAAGTTTAGTTTTTAATCATCTGCTGATGATGCTAACATGGTTAGAGAAACGCGCGTCCAGTGTAAAAGTAAAAGTGTTTTGGTGTATTTATGGTGATTTAGTGTTTTATTTTGCTGTTGAAGACACAAATGTTCAACACGCCTGTTCGCTGTTGATAGTAGGGTGTGCAGTCCGGATTCCCATTCCAAGTTACGGATGGAGTCTTCCAGATTCTTCAGTTCCGCTTTCAGTTGGTTCCCGCTTGGAAAACAGAACGGTTCTGGTCCAGTTAGTGGAGTGGTTGCTCCTTTCCTAGCTAGATAATTTGCTTTTTCATTGCCTTTTATCT